AGCTTTTAAAAATACCTCAGATCCAAAAATAATCAATATATTTTAGCTTATTGGAAAATAACAATTGTCAAGAATAACTTTACAAAATTATATAAGGTATCTTGCAGTCGAACCCTCATTTATATTTATTTCTTTTTTGAACTATAAAACGTTTCTGACTCCGAGGCAAAAACAAAATTTTTCTGTTTATTGTACAAAAATTCAGTTCTGTGGTGTGGAGCAAATTGTTTGTGTTATTGTTTATGCGGAATGTTGAATTCGGAATGCCACATGTGTTAATGCTGAGTTTTTAGTTTTGTTTATAAAACAAATTTTTGTTCAGTTTTAGAAATGCATTTTCTGCCTGGGTTCCAACTTCTAGGAATCGTTCACTCATTCTCTGTTTGGGGCTAAAGTGTTTTCTGGGAGCTAGTTAACGGGAAAGGTCAGTTTTCAGGGAGGTTTTTTTCATGGAGTTTTTCTCCGTCAGTTTCCCCACGCTAATTCCCAGTAAACATTTAGTGTCCCGTTCCCAGGTTTTATTTACAGAGGCTCAACCATTGCGCAATGCAAACTGTTTTCGGACTCTATTTAGTGGACTTTGACTGGACTTTTGACCGGTTTTTTGCTTGTCAAGCCGCTTAGCCAAAATATATATAAAAAAACATTAAAAAAAAGTGAAAAAAATGCCACAAATTAAACTGAAAATTGTTATTAAAAGCGCGTACAAGAGACGACGAACGATGTCGACGCGGAAAATTAGTGGCTGCGACTTGCGAATGAATGAATGACTGAATGAGTGACTGAAGCGGACAGTTGGCGGTGCTACTGAGGAGGAGGAGGAGGTGGAGGGAGGAGGTGGAGGGATTGAGTGAAAGCCGGTAAGCCACTTTGCAGGTGGGGAATGAAAATGACTGACTTACATTGCCGAATGCTTTTGACTTGACCACTTGGACGACTTCCTGTGGTTGCATCTCCCGCTGGGTTGATTGACCACAAAAACTAAACATATATATTTATATATATGTAATGTAAAGTCGGGGAGGAGGCGTGGCAGATTAGCTAATTCCATGACTCACCTGCCGGATAATTAGCGATGGGCGTGGGGCACAAACGGCCGACTAAACGTGGCCAATAAATTCTGACACGCCATTAAAATTAAAAGAGGCAAAAGGAAAAAACTACAACTTTGATAGAGGCAAATGTTGAAAGAAAACTATTTCAAAGAAAAAAAGCTGCACAGGTAAAAATTACAAGTTGTATTTGTTAAACAACATATAAATTTTATAATTACATCAGCTTACATTTATTTAAACCCACATTATTGTTGAAATATAATGAAGTAATAGCCCATTAATCAAAATTTAAGGAACACTTTTACCAGTGTAGCTAATAGGGATAGCCTTGCGTGTGGCTTGTTGCCGGCAAACACAGCTCAATGTGGCAAACACAAATAAATAGTAAATATAAAATTTCTATGACTAACACGCGCCTACAACAAGGGGCAGGAATAGACAATAAGTGGGGCTGCTTTAGCTGGAACCAAAAGACAATTGGTAATTAGGCTCTCCGTGACATAATTGTTAGCAGGAAAATGAAAAGCTATTGAACACGTACAGCTGGCAATCTAATTACTTAAGAAAGGTTATTTAAAATTTAAGAGAAATAAATAGAAGAGGTTCTTAGGAACATAAATGTTGTATTCATTCCAATCAGAAGCTTGTTACTCTGTAAAGGAGTCTTTTTTGGCTTAGTTATTAATAAATAATTTTTTAATATTTAAAGAATATCTACAATTTTAATATCTTTTAAATCCAAAGAAGCAACCTTTTTTATTTTTCTCCCCCATTTCATTACCACAAAAACTTGGTCCACACAAGTTTTGACCACCAAAGTTTTCACACAAAAGGAAAACTGTCAAGTAGTAGGAAAAACTTGTCACAGTTAGCCCAATGGAAAAGTGTCCAAACATTTGTTGCCCCAAAAAAAAAGAGTTGAAATATTTTTATCGACACATTTAAATTTGAATCAAAATGTAAGGAACTTTTTGCTTAAAAGGCAAAAGACACAATTTTGCTTTTAGCCATAACACGAGATTCGATTGCTGGTTTATTTTTTGAACTGTGTCTTCCTTTGCTCGTTTCTATTTCTGTTATTTTTGGCCTTGTTAAGTAAATATTTACACCAGACATAGGCACACTCACTTTTGTGGTAAACAAATAGATAGAAACGAAACCAACCCCACGGTGTTCTATATATTTCCTTTTTCTTTTCTAAATATATACATTTATATATATATATTTTTTTTTGGTAAGCTAGAAATTAGCAAAACAACCTCTTAACCCCTGACTACACGCACAGCTGATTTCGTCGCCTGTAAATTAACCCATAACTAGCCATAAAAGCACTCAGAGAAAAACACCTGACGAGCGGGCCAACCCCCCTTTCCCTTCCCCCATCCACTAGAAATATACACTGACAGAAGCTTTTATGACAGAGTGCTTAGGTGTGGTGGGGGGGCGGGTGAATTAGGGGAGGTTTTTAGGTTTATGTTGTTGTTGTTAAAAGAATAGCAATTGTTGTTCTGTCGTGACTTCTGCTGCTGCTGCTGCTTTTTGCTGCTATCCTGTTGAAAAATCAGGGAAATCTATTTATTGATGTTTTTCGCACAAAAACCCACTGCGCGTGTGACAGAGAGGGCACGAGGGTTCCCCAGGGGTTCAATTCTGACGTCACAGAAAGAGGCGGGTATCGGCGAGACAGAGATAGGTGAAACTGCAGAGCTTGCTGCTGGGTTTTGTTAAAAAGCTTTCAAGGCACAAAGGAAAGCTGAAATGCACTTAGAAAAATGAATACATTTTGTTGTAATATATATATTTTTATGCAAATTATTTTTAGTCAATAAAACATTAATTCTGAGATCTTTGAAAATAAATTAGAGGAATTTTTTTTAGAGTAAAGAAATAATTTGCATAATTGGTTAAAAAAAGAGGGCTGTTATAATAAATTTAAATCCTTGGTGCCCAGATGATATGCCGAGGGTCCTTGAACGCCACAAGAACATTTACACTATCTATTTGTGTGAGCTAAGGCCAGGCAGAGAAATTTGTTACTTGCTTTTAATAAATATATAATAAATTATTTGTATAATTTTATTTATTCAAATAATGAAAAATGAATATAAATAAATATAAAATTAATATTTTTTGTTCCCTTAATTGTATTTAATTATTCTTTGTGTATCTTGATAGCTTTCTCACCCAATGTGTACCCGCGCGCATTTATATTGTCCTGCTGTCATCGCCTCCACTGAACCCCTCTCCCTGTACGCCTCCTGTCTCTGTCTAATCCTGTTGCCTGTTGTCGTCATAGCTCCTGTTTTGGTGACTCCTGTTGCTCCTGTCTAGAGTGGCAGCCATCGTCTTTTCCTGCTCGCCGGTTGATTTGAGGCGGAGTATTTGAGTTAGAGTTGCTCAATGGCGGGCTCCCTGTTCCGCCCCTTTGTGGCCCTTTGTGTGGGAAGAGCCAACCCACTGGTAACCACTCCCCTGCTAACCACACCCACCGGGAAACCGCCCCTTTTTCGTCGGCTGGAGAAATACTGGAGTGGCTGAAACTTCCCCTGTTGTTCTTCGTGGATTTCTTGTTTTTTTTTCGGTGGTCTTTCCCATTTTTGTACTTTGCTTTGCCGGCTAAGAAGTTGGTCCATGTCTTGGGCTGGCGTCTTACAAAAAGGGGGGCGGCCGGAAAATGCGGGAAAATGCTGCAATGGCTTCCCCGCTATGTTTGTGTTATGTGTGGAGCGGCCATTTTCTCCATGGAGCCAATTAGCACCAGGCGGTCAGGAAAAGGAAGCTGAGGGGCAAACCCCAAGCTAGTCCTGTCGATTTTCCGATTTCTTCCCCAGGAGGAGGCTGTGCCGATGCTCCTCCGAAATTCTCCCAACGAGAGAAAGAGAGGCGAGCGGAGAGAGCTCCCAGTTTGGAGCTTCCGGAAAAGCTCCTCTTGCAGGAGCAGGATGCTGTGGCACCTACCTCCCTACCTCGGTGCTTTGTCATTCTGCACACGTGTCCGGGATGTCCTTTATTTTCTGCAGACAGGCAGGAGCGTCGGGTCAAGGCTACCACCTACTGATGTCAGCCAGCTGCCAGCTGCCACGCGCAACATGCAACATCCTTGTCCTGGCTTGACTCATAATGCGCCACCAGAAAAGGGTATCGCAGGTGTATATACTATTCTGTTTGATATATGAAAAACTTTATATTTATATCAATTAAACTTTCAACAAGAGAGGAAAACTAACTTGGGGAAAATTTTGAAAAAATTAAGTTTTATCCAAACATAGCCAGATATATGATTTATAGGGTCGGAAATGAGTTCTTTACTACTTTTTAAGCTTGTGACTCAAAATATAATACCCTGCAAAGATATATAAAATTTGCAGCAATTCTATTCAAGTGTTTAAAGTCTCCTTTTGTAAATTTATTTTGATCTACAATAGTAAAAATAAAACCCAAAACTAATATGTCAGCTTCGATTACCTTAGTTTTCATCCACAAAATATTCTGTTGAATGTGACTCCTAAGGGTTAGGTCCTGATTTTGATTGAGAACAAAGAGCTTTCACTTTCTGAAGGATTTAATCCATTTTGGCTTTAGTTTGCCTCTGGCTATACCTTTGTTTTTCTTCTCGTTCTAAGCAGTTTCGTTCTGTTCGTGGCTAAAGTACGTATCTGGGTCAGTTGTTTGTTTGGTCGTTTGCTCGGCTTGCATAAGCCCGTCCGGCGGCAGGGAAAACTGCATCCCCCAAGCCACAACCCCCTCAATGGAAAAGTCCCATACCCCGTTTTGGTTAGCTGCTGCAAATGAGGAAGCCTAAAATAGCAGCAAGCCAAACGCGTTACGTGTTGGCGTTGCACTGCACAAACTTGCAGCAGCAGCAGCAGCAGCAGCAGCAGCAGCAATCGATTGAGGGGTCTGGTTACCAACATTTTCCTTCTCAGCTCACAGTTTTGAGCCGTTTGTCGCGTTGATAAGAACGTCGTGGAAAGCGAAAGTCCCACTAACAGAAATAGCACCCATAAACCAGCAGCAAAAACAGCTGATTGAGAGAACTCATTTCAATAATAATCATTTATTTTAAACAGTAATTAAAACGATTGTTTCTCCAAACAAAATTTCAAAGACCTCTTTACAGTATAGTTGAAAAGTAAAGACATGGGATTTCAATTCGTATTCAGACCCCATCGGAAAAGGAACAAGCATACGAATATTAACAAATATTATATGCATGGAAGCAAGCCAAATGGAATCGAATTTATATGGTTGCCCGATTTTTCGGGCAGGAGTATTATGGTGCTTACTATCAGGACGGATGCATTTAGTTTGACTTTCACTTAAAAAATCTATAAACTATTATTTGCCTACCAAAAAACACATAAAACCAAAATTATTCCATGTGCAAAATTTCATCTGAACTGTAAACAGGAATTACATCGAATTGAACCCGAAAGAAATATTGAAAACCCAGCGACAATCGTTTGTTTTTCGCTACCTAACAACTTATATAAAAATCTTCCAAATTCCTTAATTTCCCCAAAAATCCCTAACTTTTAAATTAAAATTTTGAAGTGTATACAAAAAGTGCAAGTTGACCATAAAAGAGGTGGAAATATAGCCAAAATGCAGCGTCCCTCGTCGAATATCTCCAGCAGCATCATGAACCGCATGTCCGTCTTTGAAAGTGAGTCAAGAAGTCTAGTGAATAATTCATTTGCTTAGTTATTCACTCATTCACACATTCGTTCACTTATTCATCGCTCTATTCATACAGCCTTCTTGTTGTTTGTAGGCAGACAAAAGTTAGTGAAATCGTGGTTATTTCTTTTTGTTTTTTTCGGCTTTCCACGAAGATGGCTTTCAGCGATGGTATAAAATGATTAAGTACGGGTAAAAGTGTAGAAAATTCAACCAAGTCACATATCAAATGCCATCACATATAAGGTTGATAAGGTTGAAAAGACTCGAAGGTTTGTTTGAGGGTTTTAATGTTGATTGGGATGAATTTACGTGAAGGGATTCGTTAGAGAAACTTAAACCTAACAAAATAAAATCTATAAACAGTGAAAATGTCTCAAATGTGATTAAAGTGATTGTAATTTATTGTGTTACATCTCTTTATTTATTTATTTGTATTTATATCTTAATTAATCAAATCAAATTAATCAAATTCAAGTGATTTAACCATTAAGCCATGGAGTAAAACATTTTGTTAATTAAAGTTGTCTTTTACTAAAAACTCTTTTAATTACATAAACCTGTCTTTGACTTAGAGAGAGAAATTAAATTTGGAGCCCTATTAATTTGCTTATTTTGCTTTTTAATCAAATTGGTATAATCATGAACTCTTTCCCATTCCAAAGGCAAGACAGTCAGAAAATTTTCCGCTGCTTATTGTGAATAAATATTGTTGTCTTTTGAGCTAGTTAACCCCGCCATGACAATGGTTTGCATTTAACTGGTGCTCTGTCATGGCTTGTTGGTCCCTTAACCCGGTTGCATAGGATGGACTTGGAAAACTTTCTTTCTGGCGACCGCAGAGCCCCCCAAACGAGACAAGTACTTGATAATAATAATTCAGAGCTCTTCTACTACATATCATAAATTGTGTGTACACACAATGCACTCCAATGTTTGTCTTGATTTACGGGCCTTAGACTGGGTCGCCTCCGGTCATTCGGAGTGAAAACAAATTGCATATAATTAGCCCGCTTGGAGTGGGTTTGGGCTCCCTTATGGAGTCGCCACCATTTACTTCATTTGAGTTAATTTCACACCCGAATCCTCCCTCCTCCCCCTCTCTTTAAAACACATGTGCAGTGCTCATTAACCCACATGGCCTGTCCAGAGACTGGCAAAAGGGTGTTAAGGCGGGGGTCTGGCCAGTCGAACCACTCGATTGCGCAAGTGAAAACTTGTTGGACACCACACCATAAGTGAGGTGAAGCCTTGTCTGGAATGGATGGGAAATACCCTGGGTATTCTCTACTTACTTAAAGAAGAAGAAATGGAAACTAACAATTTAGACTTTCCTTTGATTAAATAATTAAATAAATATTACCAATGAGACAGGGAATATTATCCATGTGCTGGGAGTTAATATAATAATAATATATATTAAATAGAAAGATCTTAGCTATATCCTAAATTGTATAGATATTATACCTTGCAGTTTGTGAAAACACAGCTTCGAATCGAATATCGATCATAGCTAAGCTATAAATTTTTGCATTCTTAGAATCAATATTTAATTATATTTTTATATGACAATTTTTCGACAAATCAAAGTTTAAAAACTTGGAACTAAGCCAAAAAAGCATTAATTTCAAATCGGAAATCGTTCCTATGCTAGTTCTTACTATGTTAATAAATCTGAATACTCCATTTACAATTTTAGAAATTTGAAATTTTTACCAATTTTTAATAATTTTATCGATTTTTGTAAAAATCTAAACAATTTGAAAAAAATTAAATTTAAGCCGGTCATGGCTAGATCGATTCAGTTTTTGATGCTGATCAAGAATGTATATGATTTATAGGGTCGGAAATGACTACTTCTCATATTTAGAAGCTTCTGAATAAGAGTATAATATCCTGCAAAAATATAAAAATGAGTAAATTTACGACATTTATCTAGTTTATATAATATAAAATTTTAAGTACCCCAGGGTATTTTAAACTTCCATTCCAATCAGTTTTCCCCCTAGAATTTCTTTCATTACCGTTCATGGTTGCATTGGGTCAATCCAAGCAAAACTTTTTTTGAAAAATCACCCGAGACCAGACATCGCTGAAAATGTAAATGCAAATTACGAGTGCAGGCAGCCAGCGTTTGCAGCGGCGAATGCAAATTTTCATTTGAAATCGAAGAAGTTTAAATCAATCAATACGGATTTGCATGCGATTTCCGATTGTGCCACATATGGGACATGGGACATCAAACATGGCATATCTGATGATTAGCATAATGCAGCTAGTGGCTGATAATAAAACTGGTTTCGTCACTATTTTGCCCGGGGGCCTACAACAAAATGTTTGTTAAAGGTTTCCAATGCTTTTCATGGCCATTAGAGTCGGCCAAACCAGAGATTTCTTGGATGTTTGGATGCCTTTTTCCATTGAATCAACAGACCATAATTTGCTGGAATTGTCTGAAATGACTCTGATGAAATTGATTGATTGATTGTCGACCGCGAACTCTGAGTGGAGTTGGCAATTAAGGTTGTTTAACCCTCTTGAAGAAGATGAAATATGCAGACTCGTGTGAACTAGTTTTTTGTCAATGATTTTCTTTGCTTACAATTATTATTATTATTTTAATGTCTGTGTATTTAAAAAAAAAACCTTTTAAAATAAATAATATAATTCTGTTCCACTTTCTACTTAAATTTCTGACTCATTGTTTGAATTTACTTAACGTTTATTACCTTAACTGTTCCACTTTTCGAGGTATAAGTATATTTATTCTGCCTACTCAAATTTTTAATTCGTTTTCAGTCTCTGAAAAATTAATGTCCTACTTTTTTCTTCAATTGGTTTAAGGTTCTTGAACTGAAAGCGTTTAATTAGGATTAACTTTTGCATAAAAATTATTACAACTAAGCAAATTAACTTTGGTTTAAACTTAACTTTAAAATCTAGTTACATTTTCTAAAAAATGCTTTTAAGTATTCAAATTTTCCTCAATTTTCAGATGTAATTTAAATGTTGGCAATGCTCCCTAATGCATCGCCTCCACTGCCAGTTTGTAATTTCTGCCACAAATTCTATCCTCTGAACTCTTTGTAGCCATTTCAGCCATGTCATTGCCCTTTCAGCGCTATTTCTCTTTTTTTGTATTTATTTCTGCTCTGTCCCTTATCATCGCCTATTAATCTAGTTTAGGTTTTGGGCTTCGAGCGACTAACTAGTCCGCTGCAAGATGTGGGTTAATATGATGGGTGAACAAAAGAAGTTCGCCGGTGACGGTTCAGTAAAAAATTTACAAAAAGAACAGCAGAGCCCCGAAGAAACCAGAACAAGAAAAAGAAAAAAAACTTTACCGCTGACTTGAATCGAGTTCTTTTCTGCCTCTCATAAAGTTTTTTTTACGGTTTTACAGCTGTTGTTTCTTCTTATTTTTTTTTTTTTTTTTGTAATAACAAATTGACAATGACATGAATGAGAAGAAATATTTAACCTTAATAAACGACCAAGAGAACAACGCGACGCGAAGCTTTAGACGTCTTTTGTTGGATTTTCTTGGTGCTTTTGGTCGTCGGTCGACGTTGTTGTGTGCATTGTTGGGTGTTTAAGGCCCGAACTGATTTGTGAGGGGAAGGCCAAGTGCCAATTAAACTTTGGCACAGTCGACCGAAGGGGACATCCCAGTAGAGATACACTGGGAAAAAATATGATTTAAATAATGTAAAGCCAATCAAGATGAATCTCATTAAAATCACATCAAATTAGACACTTTAAAACACGTGTTAAAGGTTTTACACAAACATAATATTAATCAGTTTTCTATTTTCCTGAAATTAAATTAGTGGATTTAGTTAATCGTCAATTTTGTAACAGTGTTATGCCATAGAATGCGAAATCCATTCACTTATCGCTGAACTCTTCGCATCTATCTTTCAGATACGGCATTCAGGCAGAGTCCGGCAGAGGTTGAGAACGCAACTGGAACGACCATGATGTCCATGACCAGCTCCCCACCGGCCACGCCCACCGGTGTTCAGACGGACCAAGATGGCCTCATCCTGCCCAAGAAGCTCATTAATCCCTGCATGGAAAATACCGATCGCAAGGAGTTGCATCGAGAGCTCAAGTTTAATGCCAGAATGTGAGTCTTATACTAATATTCCTTAAGGATAAAATAATCTAGTATACTCTACCTTTATTGCAGTGGGAAGAGCGTGCTTAACCAAAAGTCGGAACTGCAACGGGCCTACGACAAGCAAAAGGAGCGACATGCGGCCGCCGAGCAGCACTCACCGGATACGGAAATAGTTGGGGGCATTCCGGGCCTTAAAGGAGAGCTCGGTCGTGTGATTATGGAGCGGGCGCAAAAGCATGAGGCGGCGGCCCAGAAGCAGGATCAGGAGGATGCCGAGGAGCGGCAGTATGTGAATCCCGAGTATCTGAACGTACGGGCCAAGCTGCGCACGGCACATGCCAATAATTAGGAAGCTATAGCTATAGCTCCTCGGATACCTGGATGGATGATGCCCCAGTCCCTCAGCTTGATTAATGTTAAATGTTTAATTTTATTAAGAAGACCTAAAACCAAATTATGTGTGCGTGGAGGTGGAGCTATATGTGTTTTATGTGTTAATAACTCGTGAGCGGTTTTCATTTTGATATTATGCAAAACTAGTTGGTTATTATAGTTTAACGTTTAACTTCTAGACTAAGCCATTTTACCTGTTTAGTTCGTTAGTTCTAGTTACTAATCTAAGTTACAGTTTAATTAATTTTTCTGTTGTGTAAAAAAGCAAAAAACAAACCATGTGTATAAAGTTTTAATTTCTAAACGGCGGACCCCCGTTCTTCCACAAACAAAACAAAGAGAAACGAAACATTAAGGAATATTATGAATCTAGTGTAGTTATCTATATGTATATCCCTAAAATAGAGTGACCGAGATATAATGCTGTAAACAGGGCAATGTGTTAGAGAGTAAGACAGAGAGACAGACAGACAGAACATGGAAGAAAGATATTGGATCTATATATATATATATTGAAAACAACTATTTTATGTCAAAGCAAAGAAATTTGAACAGATTACAGAACTATATACAACATATATCTATATACAAATTTAGTTTCTGGAATTAATAAATTTTATTGTAGGCAAAGAGTTATCGAAACCGAATAAATACTTTTTACTTTACTTCATTTTATATATGTATATATAACTACAGAGTTACGTAAACGTATTCAATGTGCAAAGTGTTGAGGAATCAATCTTCATCCTTGGCTTCTTCTCTGGCCTTTTCCAAGGCCCTCTCCTGTTTGGCCAGTGCCTTAGCCTCCTTTTTGGCCTTAAGAAGGTCCCGCTTTGCCTGCAATTTGGCCTCCTTAGCGAGTAGTTTCTGTTTGGCCAATATTTGGGATGCTCTCTTCGAGGGTCGGGCCTGCAATTGTCAAATTGGTTCTTAGAAAGCAACTCATTTAATAGAATTTTTCTAAATGCAACTCACGGCTGACAAACGGGCACGTTCCTTCTCCGCCTCCATGGCAATCTTATCGCGAACCTCTTTGATTTTCATGCGGAATATCTCGACCTGATCCATTTGCGCCTTGAGATCCTCCTTGCACTTGGTCACTTTATTGACGGTGGCCTGTAGCATATTCTCGGCAGTTTCCATATCCTCGTCGAAGGCCTCCTGCACTGCATTGATGCGGCTCTTGTATTGTTCGATCATATTCACATACTTCGTTTGACAGCTCTTCCACACCGCCGAGTCCTTGGCTGTCTGCTCGGCAATTTTATCCAGCTCATCGGTGAGTACCTTTAAATAAATAAGATAGAGAACTTGGAGTTGGGAGTAACTGGTTATCTTTGTATAAATACAAACCTTACAGCGCAGAAAATCTTTATATTGTCCCTGCTCTACAGTATCATAGGTCCAATTAACCTTATAGCGAGTCTCTATGGGGCTCAAATCTATTTTAATACAAAAATTATATAGTATTATTAGTATATGTAAATAATCAAAGCACTTACAATCGATCTGATGTCGCTCCTTTTTAAGTGCACGCTCTTTGGCCACTAATCGAGGATTTTGGATGCCAATAATTTTCTTCTTAGCATTCTCCTCCTTCAAGGAGTCATGTTCGGCCATAATGGTTTCATAGGGAACGGCAATTACATTATCAATGTCCACTTGGGTGTCCCTAAAGAAATTTGGAAGAAACTCTCAAGTAATTAAAAATCTTTGGCAATAAAAACTCACATAAGAAGATCCATGAATGCATTTTCCTCGCACAGATTTCTATCCGCAATGATATCATTCAACAGGGCCTGTATCAGATTGATAAGTTCACCCAAATCTACATAGAACTTGAGGTCATCGAGTGTAGCTTCTGTTCTATTCTTCTCCAGAATGTCCACATAAACGGTGGTCGTTTGCTGTTCGAAGCGCTTCAAGGTGTTCTGATAGGACCACACAAAGATGGTGTCATTGGGATTTGTGCCAGCCGGTGGGTACTCTCTCATAACATTCAGGATCTCTTGGAGCTGCAGCAGCTGATAGATGATGCAAACATTGCGGAAGTCGGAGATCAGGTTGGCGAATCGCACTTGGAACTTCTGTTGCGTTAAGACGGCAGAGTTGCGCTGCTCCTCGCTGAGAATCGATTGCTGAATGGTGCTAAGCGTCGTACCTCTGGCACGCGGTGCCACATTGGTTTTGTACATCTTGGCCCGGAATGCTGTCTCCGAATCCACCTCGGAGGTACTCGACTCTTCCACAAACATTGCGCCCTGCTCCTCCTTCTTCTTCTCGAGGACGTAGGGAGCGAGCAGTTGCTTAATGAACTCATCGTGGCACATATGATCCGGCTTCGTCGGCAGCGGGAACAGGGCGTTGATCTTCTCCAGATACTCAGTCATGGTATAAGTCTTTGGTTCCAATAGATTTATCTTCGAACGTGAAGATTCCACGGATGATTTCATGTTGATAGTGTTTTTTCTGTTACTAATTTCGACCAAGTTAAATTAATGAGTTGGGAGTACTGACACTAATGTGTATAGTTGCTATTGTTCTGACTAGAAAACCATAAAGAAATATAAATGAAATCGATTCGTATTCGTATACTTTAAATCGATATTTATAGAGATTTTGATGTTACAATTTTTTCTGCAAATTAAAGTTTAAAAATCTAATAAATTAGTCAATAAAGCATTAATTTAAATTCGGAAAAATGAAATATTTGGTATTTACATAGGGTTAGGCTATTATTTATACCGGAATATACTTTCTTATGTTGTAATATATTAGAAGGAAACCACAAATCATTTTACGCAAAGAAATTAAATTACTCATAACACTTGGCCTTGCACTCTTCTTTGGTGTGAAAGATATTAGCGTTGGCCCTGTATCCTCCATAAATCCAATCATTGCATTCCTTGGTGATTGCATTATAAGAAAATCGAACATAATTATTTTGAAATAATCCAATCCCTGCTGATAAGGTTGAAGTCCACAAATGGCTAAAAAGTACAAAAATATATCTTTTATTTTCCAAATATATCCCACTTACGATCTTTTAACCCCACTGCAGTACACACTAGTAGAAGAAGCGCCCAAAATTTGTTAAATGTCTTCATATTGACAGTATTTTTGGAAAGAGATGTCGACCTTAGCTTACAGGTGCTTTCCAGCGATTGTTATTTCTATTAATCCAAGTCCATTTTAAATAATACCATAGCTAATATTTTTTAACTGTGTCTAAATAATTAATTTTTTCTATTAGCTGTTAATATGGACATTCGAATAAGGTTCCACCTGAAAGATGATATTTTAGTAATTGTAGTGTATATAAATTGTCGTTTATTCAAATGAAAACAATTCTTTAAATTGATGCAAAGTCTTTAGTTGTAAAATATTTGAAACAAGTTAGAAGACAAAAATTACTCCACGCACTTTTCCTCGCAATCTTCTTTGCTGATAAAAATATTAATGGCGTTACCACAGCCATAATAAGTCCAAGGGCTACATTTGTTGATACTTTCAATATAAGAATAACTAGGTATTAAAGCATAACAATGCCCGTTTTCATAGGGTGGAAATCCACAAACGGCTAAAACAATAATAGATATAAATATTTTACTAATGAATGGTATCTAGAATATTTCCTACTTACGATCTTTTAATCCCACCGTAGTATACACTACTAGAAGGAACGTCAAAAACTGAATAACCATCTTCATATTTAATTTTCGGTAGAAATATCGGCCTTACTGTAAGAGGGCTGCGAGAAGATTGGTGTTTATATTAACCCAAATCGACTTTAAATAACACCGTTACTAATTATTTAATAGCTGTGTCTAAATAATTATAATTCTAAGAGAGATATGTTTGGTACGTTATTTTTCAATACAAATTATTACGTTATAAATTATTATTAGCTTTGGCCTTTATTCAATTTGTGAATTTCGAATATTAAAAAAATATTTAACAGTTTTTATTCGTATGTAGAAAATCGAAATCATTTATCAACGATTTCTTTCTGTATAGCTTTGTTATTATTGTTTCTTTGCAAGTGTAAACAAACATAAAACGGGTCTACTCTACTATATCTTAATTAAAGGGTGTGCAAGCCACGAGACGACTAGTGCAAATATATGTATGTATTAATGCATATGTGTGTACATGTATGCACCATCAACTCCCACGCTCTCGCACTGTAGTTCACTCCACCGCTCATGTGGTGGAGCTCCCACAGTCATACTCTTTCACTCACACCATGGGGGGCTTGCAGAGGCTCTCTCACACACTGGAGCTTACTGGGGCTCTCGCGCCACTGGAGCTGCCTCTCGCCCCCACTGAAGCTCACTGGAAGCTCCCTCTCCCGCTCTCCGGCTCTGTCGGTTATGTGTTGTAGGCACCGTCTGCTTTCGCTGGCCCGCTTCTTGCTGGCCAACTCTGGCCGCCTGTTCCAATGTATCGCGTAGAGGGACCTGCCTCAATGTTGCGCGTCGATTTTAGGGAGCCTACACCATAAAAATCGGTGACGCTCGTCCACCTTTTTTTTTGTGCCCTCTCCGTCTATGGCTCTCGTCCCCTACTTCCCGTCTTTTGCGGTGGAGTTGGGTGGTGTCTGAAGGCGCCTGCGCGGAGTGCGGTGGGATTTTCTTCACATCGCTTTGCAGCTTTGTCGCTCGCTCGGCCGCCATTTGCTATTCCCGCTGCTCTGTCGCCGAATATGAAGCAAGCAGAATGCGCCGCAAGCAGGATGGAGAAAAGATATGTTTTATTTTCAGCTTTCTGCTGCTTACTGTTGCTCTTGGAGTCGGATGCTGCTGCTTAGATGAGGCCAGCGACTTGACCTTGACATTCGACTTTAACCCGCTGAGATTTATTAGGGGAAGAAATAGGTGTCGATGTCATTAAGTGTGTTATATTTTTGTATGTATTTTTGATTATCAAAATGTTTTGGAAATTTAAATTAATTGAGATTTGGTTTAGAAGTGTACAAGAGATTGGTACTTTATCTTAGTAAAGAAAACCAAACCAAAACAAATAATATTAATAATACTTAAATCTTATGTTACTTTATAGGGTTAAATAGCATGCTGCAGTCCCGTCGAGATCGGGGGGCGGCTGTGGCCACTTGACGGAGCTCCAGCTGCTTTCATCGCAGTTACATGGGCACCGTTACTCGCCGTCCGCCTATCTTTCTCTCGGTGTCTCTCCTGCCTCCACTTCCGTATTGTGTGGCTCTCTGGATGTATTTTAGCTGCTGTCTGCTATCATCAATTGCTGATTGCTTGTTCGCCAAACCGCAGTTTAGCGCTGGCAATGCCGGCGGCCGCGGACGTAACGTTAAATGACGAGTCCCCAACGACCAGCGGCCGACACCACGACAACGATAACGATAACATCGTGGCGGACCCAACTGATAGACAGCTGTCTCCCGGTTACGTCAGTCAAAATGACGCATCGTGTTTTGGTAACAGGAAAGCATGAATTGAAAACAGACAATACACAGACGCCCCCTTTGACGTCGCTGGAGCTTGCAAGAAAATCACCACAAGGCAACAGAACAAAGCCAAAGAAAAAAGAAGAAAAAACACACACACGACGCAGCGAGGCAGCGCGCAGTCGGCGTCACGACAACGAAAAAATCCACCCTCGCATCACGCGGAGCGCCACACAACGTTGTTGGTTTTATTTCCATCCTTCGCTTCCTCTTTTCAATTAGGCAAAGTGCACTGTCTAGCCAAGTTCTACCGCTCAGAGGGTGAGAGCGAGGTGGAGCATTGGGGGGCATGGTGCAAAGCAAGCACTTTTTGACGCCCTAAACAACAAAACACTAAATGCAGCAACATCCAGCAGCAACAGCCTCATGGAACAGCTGCTGAATTATAGGAACAACATCAACAGCAGTGAATGTTAGTGTTGATAGTAAAGAAAATAGCTAATAAGATTACCTTTTTTTCATATCAGAATTACATTAATTACCCTAATTTATATTAATTAAAAAAATTACGTATACGCAATTTGTGCAATATATTTCTCTGTTATCAAGACTCTGTCTTGCAAATTGACAACAAATTTAATTACGTATTTTTTAGTTCAAAATAACATTTATTTAATAATCTTGTTGATTTATCTGGTTGATTTAAAAAAATTACGTATACGCAATATGTGCCATATATTTATTTATTTTTCAAGACTCTGTTTTCCAAATTGACTAGATATTTAACTAAATATTAATTTTAATTATTTCTTAGTTTAAAATTACATTTATTTACAAAGCTTGTTTATTAACCTGATTGATTTAAAAAAAATGACGTATACGCAATGTGTGCCATATATTTATTTATTTGCCAAGATGCTATTTTTAAAAGTGAATTGGGATTTAATTACCTATTTTCAGTTCAAACATTTATTACATTTATTTACTAAGCTTGATTTGGCTAATTGGTTTTAAAAAATTACGTATACGCAATATGTGCCAATATATTTATTTATTTTCCTAATACTCTGCTTTCCTAGCAAGGGAAACCAATATGTACATATACATGAGTATATATTTAATTAATTTATATTTTATTTATTACATTGAGTTGGCAGTATAAACTCCAAGCGGGCACCACTGCCTTCGACGCTAACGCCAACGCGAACGGTTCTTGCCGTTGCTTTCACACAGCAACAAAAATAAGAAAACACACTCCGAATGGGGACGGGTGAGTGTGCGTTGGCCAGTGCTGAGCTCCTGCTGCTTTGCGGACAAAATTTGAGCAGATCCGCTCACAAAAAACGGCATTATGTACGAAAACTACAAAATAGTGCTGTGCTGTCCCGGGCACTGTCTCCAGTGGCTCCAATGGCTCCAATGGCTCCACGATTCCAGGGCTCCACGGCTCCACTGCCTCCGGCTAACCAAATGGTGCCCATTCCAATTGGAAATCGCACACCACTCGCATGGGAAAAGTCCCCAACTGGTATTTCGAGCAGGCGCACATAGTTCCCAACTGCTCACTCCCAGCGAAGAGTTCCGATTCTGTTTCGCTCGCTCCGATAAGAAGCAATGACACAATGCGGCGAGATAAGCAGCTAGAGAGTGAGAGAGCACGATTGGGGAACTGGAGCCAGAACGACAGTGATAGAGAGACGAAGAAAGAGAGCTCTGTGTTGATGGAAGAAGCCCGCAAGTGAGGGGCGCAATGTCTAATCAGACAGAGAACCATGATCGCGATAATAGAGGTGATAGCACTGGTATTCCGGTTAGTATTAAAATATAAACAATTTAACAATAATTCGCTTTATAATAAGGATTACTTACCGTTTATTTATAGTGAATTTTTATTTGGTGTAAAATATATACATATGTATATAATTAAAGCACTAATATTCTTTAAGACTTTTATATCTTTTAAATTCGGTTAATAAAACCTTAATTAATATTTATCATACAAATAAATATATATGCATTATTTGTTAAAGAGATACCTAAAATTATTTATGCCGTTTAATAATATAATAATTATTATAATAAAAAAGTATAAAAAAATATTAATTTAATTCAAAATTAAGTATACGCACATTTATTGTATTATTCATAACTATAATTGCCTTTGATTTATGATAAGCGATGTCGATGATAATTTCCAGATGAATTCTAAACAGTTTCATCATTTAAAGAAATGTAAACATAATAATACTTATGAAATAATATTAGTACAACATTGGAAGTTTTAAATAATTGACATAAAAATCTACTACTTTTTAATGACTTTCCAAATACCTCTAAAAATGTTTCATTAAAAATTATCGCTCAATTAACTCTTTTTTTTTAGTAAACTGATAATTTTATTGGCCGATATGACGGTGACTCTATATAAAGGTTTAGGCTTTGGGCTCCGTTTATTCAGTCGTGCGGCAAGCACAGAGCAGAAAAGTATTCTATTTTCTAGATCTCACGGTAAGAGTGAAAATAAAAGAGAAAATATATTAAGAGAATCGATCCCGAGTACTTGAAAAAGCTTACCCCCCGGAAAAACATTTCAGTTCGTTCCCTTCGCTGTGCGAGTTTGGTGGCAGAGTACAAATTTTATAGTGTAAATCGTATAAATATTATTTAAAAAAACTAATAGATTCTCTTTTGTTAGAGACAGTTGTAAACTACAACTTTTGAAGAGAGTTCCGAAGAGTGTTAGTTTGTTTTTCTATGACATTGAGAACAATTTGTAATTAATGCGAAATTCGAGTGTGGGTTTTTTCCATTCCCCTCCTAATAAACAATGCAAAAAAGCATCAAATTGTCAAAAATGTTGAATGAGCAGCGAGAGTCGTGGACAAATGATTAAATGTGAACATATCTAGAAGGTTTGCTTATCGGAATTTCGCCATAAATCTTGTGGGGTGGACTCAAGTGCTGAGATAGTGACCATATATAACCCTTTTGACTTTGGGCGTTTAATGGGAAAATGTCGGTCAGATAACCATTACTGTTTTGTGGTTCTAAATAATAATAATCAATCACCAAGCATTTTGGTTTGTCAAAAGAAAAATATATATTCATTCAACAATGATTTTTTAAAGATTTTGTCTGCAATAATATTTTTTATATTAAATATTTCTCTATATAAATATCGTATTTGCTCTGCAAATATTGTCATATGAATTTTTAATTTATAAAAAAAGTTTATTAATATTATTATTTTGTAAACTGATCAAATAAACATATATCCTGTTTTAATTTAAATAATTTATATTAAATAGTAACTATAATTTTAAGCTAAATTATGATCGATATCCTATACGATCTAATAATTCGATTGCAAACTGCAAGGGTATTTAAACTTTGCCTTCCTGAACTTAATTTCCTTTCCTTATTTTAAAATTCCTTTATTTTTAAATGTTATTTTTAGTAACAGATTGGTTAATATAAGTAACAAAAATAACTTGGCTTACCCCTTTATGTCGCGCAACTTCACAAAGTTCTCAAAACGAGTTAAGAGTCTTATACGACGTGAAGTAGAAGAGAACTCAGCGGCTCAAAGGCTTGGGAAATATTTCTATATATATTTTTATTGTACAGAAAAGAGATAGAGATGCTACTAAACAGGTTCATTGGTTTATCTGCCACAATCGTGGGTCGCAGCAGGCGCAGCGGCTTTCTGTCCTCTTCTTCGTCGCTCTTAAAAGCCGGGTGCGTATGCCGCTTCTAAGCTCAGTCGCTCGCCAAACTCGACTTCGATCGCAACCAAAATATATAGTTCTCGAGATATGGGATCGATTTCTCGGCTTTTGTTCCCACTGATCGTGGCCTTGTTTATAGCTGGTAGTAATGCTGACGTCTTTGGCAGGGCCAGCAGGAATCAGAAGCAGAATCGCACCATGTCCAGTGGCAAGGCTTTCAAGGTCCTGGTTACCCATCCCGAGGTTCCCCAGGAGGGCATTGATATCCTGAAGGAGAACTGTGAGATTATCCAAGTGCAGAGCGTACCCATCGACAGGGCTGAGCTTTTGCGTAAAATCCAGGGAGTCGATGGTGTTTTCTGGGGCGGTCATGAACGCCTCAATGCCGAGGCTTTGGATGCTGCCGGTCCCCAGTTGAAATCCATCTCCACCATGTCGGCAGGCATTGATTTTGTGGATGTTCCTGAGCTGAAGAAGCGCAAGATTCCGTTGGGACACACTCCCACTGTACTGAACACAGCGGTGGCTGATCTAGCCGTGGGTCTCCTCATTGCCGCCGGTCGTCGCTTCCATGAGGGACGCAAGAAGATCGACAAGTGAGTTCTTTAAAGATTCCTATCAAGAAGTTTTTCCTATAATAATAATTTCATTCTTTTTTCCAGTGATCAGTGGGAGAACTACCATTTGAATTGGCTTTTGGGCCAGGATATTCGTGACTCCACTGTGGGTTTCTATGGCTTCGGAGGCATTGGTCAGGCTATTGCCAAGCGCCTGTCCGGCTTTGATATTGATCGTGTCCTGTACACCACCCGCCGAAGGGTTCACAAAGAAATCGAGGAGGAGTTCAATGCCAAGAAGGTGGACTTTGATACTCTGCTGGCGGAAAGTGACTTCATTGTGATTGCCTCTCCCCTGACCAAGGACACTCAGGGTGTGTTCAATGCCACTGCCTTCAACAAGATGAACAGACTGCTGTGCTGGTCAACATTGGCAGGGGCAGTAAGTTATCTTTGTTTATCATTATATATTTATAAAATGTTTATTATATTCTTTTTTTTCGTAGAAATTGTCAATCAGGATGACCTTTATGAGGCTCTGAAATCAAACCGTATCTTCTCCGCCGGCCTGGATGTTGTGGATCCGGAACCTTTGTCGCCCAAGGACAAGCTGCTGACACTGGACAATGTTGGTAAGCAGAATCAAAACAAAATTGGGTTTATTGATATCAGTCGAGGAAATGCTTGTATTTCTGGCCTTGTTATCAGTTTTGTGATTCCCTCTTATCTGCTTGGAGTAGGTTGACATTGTCTAAAAGTATTTTCGGTGAGATTTAACTAAGGTTTTTTGAAGGTTACAAAGCATTGTTACTTACCACTTTTAAAGGTTGAATTTTTAAGTTTTATCTTGTGTTTTGTTAAGTTTACTTAACCACCACTAACATCTTGATATATTTCTGATTTCTTATAGTTGTCCTGCCACATATTGGCTCTGCCACAAAGCGAACCCGTGCCGAAATGGCCACCATTGCTGCCCACAATGTGCTCCGTGGTTTGGTCGGTGAGCCCATGTTGTCGCCCGCCTACTAAGAAAATTTAAATCAGACTCAAATGGAAATCCAGGGCCAGCCAGTGAAGTGTGAAATGCATTCCAAGTGGCCTTGGCATTGTTGTAGATGTGAAAATAAAAATAATAATTATAAACAAACACTTTCAAAAGCTGGCACAAATTGCTTCATTTAAATAAGAAAAAGGTTATTTCAAGGGAATGGAATTTAAGTTCTTATACTAACTGCTATGCATTATAGCATTATTAATTATTATTAAGCAGTTACAGGCAATCTCTATATATATACTTTTTAATTAAATTATAATTATATTAAGCTGAGATCTTCTTGAAACACTGTCTGTAAGTGCTATTGAATTGGACTGATGACTGTGCAAATATTATTCCCTTCGTTATATATTATTGAAACAAAATGCTATGTGCAATTAAAATATTTTACTGCTAATACAGCAAACCCTGTTTAAAAAATCGAAATACCCCACTAAAGTGTATGATAACAACAAAACTAGGAAATAATTAAAGCTTGCTGCTACAATTTCGTATGCCAAATTGAGAACGAAATCGGAAAGCTTAAGAGTAAAATGGGAATCTAAGAGACTGAGAATAAGAGCAACCCCCAACGAAAGCTTGAGAATTTTTTGTGGGGCTGGGAAATTTCCACAGTTTGGCGCTATAACCGACGGCTGATAGTTCATTGTGTTTTTTTTGTTATCATGTCCCGCGTTGCATCCACTGCCTTCAAGGTGCTCGTCTCGCATCCAAATGTTCCCTCACCCGCACTGGAGCTCCTCAGATCCCGCGGAGCGGAGACCATTGTGTGCCAGAGTGTGCCGCCGTCGCGGGAGGAGATCCTGAAGAAGGTACCCGGTGTCGATGCCATCTTTTGGGCTCACTATCAGCCCCTGAATGCCGGCATTCTGGATGCAGCTGGACCCCAGTTGAGATGCGTTAGCACCATGTCATCGGGCATTGATTATGTGGATGTGCCGGAGTTTAAACAACGACAAATCCCCTTGGGACACACTCCGGGTGTGGTGAAGAATTCCGTGGCTGATCTGGCCATTGGTTTGATGATTGCAGCCGGACGTCATTTCCATGCTGGGCGTACCGAAATCGAGAGGTAAGAGCCAACAGCTGAGTATGGCTAACAGCTGGGAATAAGCTTTTTATATAGAAAGCTTTTTTGACGCGGAAAATGTCAGTTAGCCAGACATTTGAATACCCTTTTAGTGTACCATTGCGGGTACAATAATTTTAGTCAATACCTCATCTATCGTCGATCTAGAATTGTATGGTTAAAAGCATTTTAATAAATTCTGTTCGATTTTTGTAAAAAATTTACACAAATTTTCTTTTTTATTTTAAATTTAAAACTGAGTATAGAGATTTATTACTATAATAAATCCCAACATGGGGCAGCTTTTCGAATTGAAATTAACACTTTTTTGGCTTAGTTATGAGATTTTGAAATTTGATTTCTATTCAAATTTTCATATAAAATATACATAAGTAAAGAATCAATAAATGGTACTATAAGATTAGTCAGAAGCCTGTAAAACTGTTAAGGAGTCATTTCCGACCCCATAAATGATATATATTCTTGATCAGAATCAACATCTGAATCGATCTAGCTATGTCTGGTTGAAAAAAATTTTGCCCATTTTTCCGATTTTGCAAAAAACAATAAGGGGTTACAAAATTGTCAAAATTGACAAAAATTGTGATTTTTAACATTTTAAATTGAGTATGCAGTTTTGTTGCCCTAATAAAACCTAGCATAGGAGAGGTTTCCGAATTGAAATTAAAGCATTTTTGGCTTAGTTATGAGATTTTTAAAATTAGATTTCTAATAAAAAATTCCTTATAAAAATACTTAATAAAGACGCAAAGAAGGGTGTTATTATTTTTATTTATTATATACATTTTAAATTGAATAACTGAGTATGCAGATTTATTACCATAATAGATCACAACCTAGGGAAGCTATCCGAATTGAAATTAACACTTTTTTGGCTTAGCTATGAGATTTTGAAATTTGATTTCTATTCAAATTTTCATATAAAATATACATAAGTAAAGAATCAATAAATGGCACTATAAGATTAGTCAGAAGCCTGTAAAACTGTGAAGAAGTCATTTCCGACCGCATAAATAATATATATTCTTGATCAGAATCAACAGCTGAATCGATCTAGCTATGTCTGGTTGAAAATAAAATTTGCCCATTTTTCCGATTTTTGCAAAAAACGATAAGGGGTTATATCATTAAAATTGTCAAAAATTGACAAAAATTGTGATTTTCTAACATTTTAAATTGAGTATGCAGTTTTGTTGCCCTAATAAAAACTAGCATAGCAAAGGTTTCGAATTGAAATTAAAGCATTTTTGGCTTAGTTACGAGATTTTTAAATTAGATTTCTATTAAAAAATACCTTATAAAAAATACTTAATAAAGACCCAAAGAAGGGTGTTATTATTTTTATTTATTATATACATTTTAAATTGAATAACTGAGTATGCAGATTTATTACCATAATAGATCACAACCTAGGGAAGCTATCCGAATTGAAATTAACACTTTTTGGCTTAGCTATGAGATTTTGAAATTTGATTTCTATTCAAATTTTCATATTAAATATACATAAATAAAGACTCAATAAATGGTACTATAAGATTAGTCAGAATCCTGTAAAACTATGAAGGAGTCATTTCCGACCCCATAAATGATATATATTCTTGATCAGGATCAACAGCTGAATCGATCTAGCTATGTCAGGTTAAAAAAAAATTTTGCCAATTTTTCCGATTTTTGCAAAAAACAATAAGGGGTTACAAAATTGTCAAAAATTGACAAAAATTGTGATTTTTAACATTTTAAATTGAGTATGCAGTTTTGTTGCCCTAATAAAACCTAGCATAGGAGAGGTTTCCGAATTGAAATTAAAGCATTTTTGGCTTAGTTATGAGATTTTTAAAATTAGATTTCTAATAAAAAATTCCTTATAAAAAATACTTAATAAAGACGCAAAGAAGGGTGTTATTATTTTTATTTATTATATACATTTTAAATTGAATAACTGAGTATGCAGATTTATTACCATAATAGATCACAACCTAGGGAAGCTATCCGAATTGAAATTAACACTTTTTTGGCTTAGCTATGAGATTTTGAAATTTGATTTCTATTCAAATTTTCATATTAAATATACATAAATAAAGACTCAATAAATGGTACTATAAGATTAGTCAGAAGCCTGTAAAACTGTGAAGAAGTCATTTCCGACCGCATAAATGATATATATTCTTGATCAGAATCAACAGCTGAATCGATCTAGCTATGTCTGGTTGAAAAAAAAAATTAGCCAATTTTCCGATTTTTGCAAAAAACGATAAGGGGTTACATCATTAAAATTGTCAAAAATTGACAAAAATTGTGATTTTCTAACATTTTAAATTGAGTATGCAGTTTTGTTGCCCTAATAAAACCTAGCATAGGAGAGGTTTCCGAATTGAAATTAAAGCATTTTTGGCTTAGTTATGAGATTTTTAAAATTAGATTTCTAATAAAAAATTCCTTATAAAAAATACTTAATAAAGACTCAAAGAAGGGTGTTATTATTTTTATTTGTTATATACATTTTAAATTGAATAACTGAGTATGCAGATTTATTACCATAAAAGATCACAACCAAGGGAAGCTATCCGAATTGAAATTAACACTTTTTTGGCTTAGCTACGAGATTTTGAAGTTTGATTTCTATTCAAATTTCATATAAAAATACATAAGTAAAGAGTCAATAAGTGGTACTATAAGATTAGTCAGAAGCCTGTAAAACTGTGAAGAAGTCATTTCCGACCGCATAAATAATATATTCTTGATCAGAATCAACAGCTGAATCGATCTAGCTATGTTGGTTGAAAAAAAATTAGCCAATTTTTCCGATTTTTGCAAAAAACGATAAGGGGTTAATCATTAAAATTGTCAAAATTGACAAAAATTGTGATTTTCTAACATTTTAAATTGAGTATGCAGTTTGTTGCCCTAATAAACCTAGCATAGGAGAGGTTTCCGAATTGAAATTAAAGCATTTTTGGCTTAGTTATGAGATTTTTAAAATTAGATTTCTATTAAAAAATTCCTTATAAAAATACTTAATAAAGACTCAAAGACGGGTGTTATTATTTTTATTTATTATATACATTTTAAATTGAATAACTGAGTATGCAGATTTATTACCATAAAAGATCACAACCTAGGGAAGCTATCCGAATTGAAATTAAAGCATTTTTGGCTTAGTTATGAGATTTTTAAAATTAGATTTCTAATAAAAAATTCCTTATAAAAATACTTAATAAAGACCAAAGAAGGGTGTTATTATTTTTATTTATTATATACATTTTAAATTGAATAACTGAGTATGCAGATTTATTACCATAAAGATCACAACCTAGGGAAGCTATCCGAATTGAAATTAACACTTTTTTGGCTTAGCTATGAGATTTTGAAATTTGATTTCTATTCAAATTTTCATATAAATATACATAAATAAAGACTCAATAAATGGTACTATAAGATTAGTCAGAAGCCTGTAAAACTGTGAAGAAGTCATTTCCGACCGCATAAATGATATATATTCTTGATCAGAATCAACAGCTGAATCGATCTAGCTATGTCTGGTTGAAAAAAAAATTAGCCAATTTTTCCGATTTTTGCAAAAAACGATAAGGGGTTACATCATTAAAATTGTCAAAAATTGACAAAAATTGTGATTTTCTAACATTTTAAATTGAGTATGCAGTTTTGTTGCCCTAATAAAACCTAGCATAGGAGAGGTTTCCGAATTGAAATTAAAGCATTTTTGGCTTAGTTATGAGATTTTTAAAATTAGATTTCTATAAAAAATTCCTTATAAAAATACTTAATAAAGACTCAAAGAAGGGTGTTATTATTTTTATTTTTATATACATTTTAAATTGAATAACTGAGTATGCAGATTTATTACCATAAAAGATCACAACCAGGGAAGCTATCCGAATTGAAATTAACACTTTTTTGGCTTAGCTACGAGATTTTGAAGTTTGATTTCTATTCAAATTTTCATATAAAATATACATAAGTAAAGAGTCAATAAGTGGTACTATAAGATTAGTCAGAAGCCTGTAAAACTGTGAAGAGTCATTTCCGACCGCATAAATATATATATTCTTGATCAGAATCAACAGCTGAATCGATCTAGCTATGTCTGGTTGAAAAAAAAATTGCCAATTTTTCCGATTTTTGCAAAAAACGATAAGGGGTTAATCATTAAAATTGTCAAAATTGACAAAAATTGTGATTTTCTAACATTTTAAATTGAGTATGCAGTTTTGTTGCCCTAATAAAACTAGCATAGGAAGGTTTCCGAATTGAAATTAAAGCATTTTTGGCTTAGTTATGAGATTTTTAAAATTAGATTTCTATTAAAAAATTCCTTATAAAAAATACTTAATAAGACTCAAAGAGGGTTATTATTTTATTTATTATATACATTTAAATGAATAACTGAGTATGCAGATTTATTACCATAAAAATCCAACATAGGGAGCTTTCCGAATTGAAATTAAAGCATTTTTGGCTTAGTTATGAGATTTTTAAAATTAGATTTCTATTAAAAAATTCCTTATAAAAAATACTTAATAAAGACTCAAGAAGGGTGTTATTATTTTTATTTATTATATACATTTTAAATTGAATAACTGAGTATGCAGATTTATTACCATAAAAGATCACAACTAGGGAAGCTATCCGAATTGAAATTAAACATTTTTGGCTTAGTTATGAGATTTTTAAATTAGATTTCTATTAAAAATTCCTTATAAAAATACTTAATAAAGACCAAGGAAGGGTGTTATTATTTTTATTTATTATATACATTTTAAATTGAATAACTGAGTATGCAGATTTATTACCATAAAAGATCAAACCTAGGGAAGCTATCCGAATTGAAATTAACACTTTTTGGCTTAGCTATGAGATTTTTAAATTTGATTTCTATTCAAATTTTCATATAAAATATACATAAATAAAGAGTCAATAATGGTACTATAAGATTAGTCAGAAGCCTGTAAAACTGTGAAGAGTCATTTCCGACCCATAAATATATATATTCTTGATCAGAATCAACAGCTGAATCGATCTAGCTATGTCTGGTTGAAAAAAAAATTGCCAATTTTTCCGATTTTTGCAAAAAACGATAAGGGTTACATCATTAAAATTGTCAAAATTGACAAAAATTGTGATTTTCTAACATTTTAAATTGAGTATGCAGTTTTGTTGCCCTAATAAAACTAGCATAGGAAGGTTTCCGAATTGAAATTAAAGCATTTTTGGCTTAGTTATGAGATTTTTAAAATTAGATTTCTATTAAAAAATTCCTTATAAAAATACTTAATAAAGACTCAAAGAAGGGTGTTATTATTTTTATTTATTATATACATTTTAAATTGAATAACTGAGTATGCAGATTTATTACCATAAAAGATCACAACTAGGGAAGCTATCGAATTGAAATTAAAGCATTTTTGGCTTAGTTATGAGATTTTTAAAATTAGATTTCTATTAAAAAATTCCTTATAAAAAATACTTAATAAAGACCAAGGAAGGGTGTTATTATTTTTATTTATTATATACATTTTAAATTGAATAACTGAGTATGCAGATTTATTACCATAAAAGATCAAACTAGGAAGCTATCCGAATTGAAATTAACACTTTTTGGCTTAGCTATGAGATTTTTAAATTGATTTCTATTAAATTTATAAAATATACATAATAAAGAGTCAATAAATGTATATAAGATTAGTCAGAAGCCTGTAAAACTGTGAAGGAGTCATTTCCGACCCATAAATGATATATATTCTTGATCAGAATCAACAGCTGAATCGATCTAGCTATGTCTGGTTGAAAAAAATTTTGCCAATTTTTCGATTTTTGCAAAAAACGACAAGAATTGTGATTTTCTAACATTTTAAATTGAGTATGCAGTTTTGTTGCCTAATAAACTAGCATAGGAAGTTTCCGAATTGAAATTAAAGCATTTTTGGCTTAGTTATGAGATTTTTAAAATTAGATTTCTATTAAAAAATTCCTTATAAAAAATACTTAATAAAGACTCAAGAAGGGTGTTATTATTTTTATTTATTATATACATTTTAAATTGAATAACTGAGTATGCAGATTTATTACCATAATAAATCCAACATGGGGCAGCTTTTCGAATTGAAATTAAAGCATTTTTGGCTTAGTTATGAGATTTTTAAAATTAGATTTCTATTAAAAAATTCCTTATAAAAAATACTTAATAAAGACCCAAGAAGGGTGTTATTATTTTTATTTATTATATACATTTTAAATTGAATAACTGAGTATGCAGATTTATTACCATAAAAGATCACAACCTAGGGAAGCTATCCGAATTGAAATTAACACTTTTTTGGCTTAGCTATGAGATTTTGAAATTTGATTTCTATTCAAATTTCATATAAAATATACATAAAGAGTCAATAAATGGTAGTATAAGATTAGTCAGAAGCCTGTAAAACTGTGAAGGAGTCATTTCCGACCCATAAATGATATATATTCTTGATCAGAATCAACAGCTGAATCGATCTAGCTATGTCTGGTTGAAAAAAAATTTGCCATTTTTCGATTTTTGCAAAAACGATAAGGGTTACATCATTAAAATTGTCAAAAATGACAAAAATTGTGATTTTTAACATTTTAAATTGAGTATGCAGTTTTGTTGCCCTAATAAAACCTAGCATAGGAAGGTTTCCGAATTGAAATTAAAGCATTTTTGGCTTAGTTATGAGATTTTTAAAATTAGATTTCTATTAAAAAATTCCTTATAAAAAATACTTAATAAAGACCAAGAAGGGTGTTATTATTTTTATTTATTATATACATTTTAAATTGAATAACTGAGTATGCAGATTTATTACCATAAAAATCCAACATGGGCAGCTTTCGAATTGAAATTAAAGCATTTTGGCTTAGTTATGAGAAATAGATTTTATTTAATAATTTATATTTTTATTTAATTAAAAATATACATTATAATAATATCTTAATTTTAAGATTTTTTTTTAATTTTATTATTTTTTTTTTTTTTTTATTTATTATATACATTTTAAATTGAATAACTGAGTATGCAGATTTATTACCATAATAAATCCCAACATGGGGCAGCTTTTCGAATTGAAATTAAAGCATTTTTGGCTTAGTTATGAGATTTTTAAAATTAGATTTCTATTAAAAAATACCTTATAAAAAATACTTAATAAAGACTCAAGAAGGGTGTTATTATTTTTATTTATTACATACATTTTAAATTCAATAACTGAGTATGCAGATTTATTACCATAATAAATCCCAACATGGGGCAGCTTTTCGAATTGAAATTAAAGCATTTTTGGCTTAGTTATGAGATTTTTAAAATTAGATTTCTATTAAAAATTCCTTATAAAAAATACTTAATAAAGACCCAAGAAGGGTGTTATTATTTTTTATTTATTATATACATTTTAAATTGAATAACCGAGTATGCAGATTTATTACCATAAAGACACAACCTAGGGAAGCTATCCGAATTGAAATTAACACTTTTTGGCTTAGCTACGAGATTTTGAAATTTGATTTCTATTCAAATTTTCATATAAATATACATAAATAAAGATCAATAAATGGTACTATAAGATTAGTCAGAACCTGTAAAACTATGAAGGAGTCATTTCCGACCCCATAAATGATATATATTCTTGATCAGAATCGACAGGTTGAAAAAAAATTTTGCCAATTTTTCCGATTTTTGCAAAAAACGATAAGGGGTTACATCATTAAAATTGTCAAAAATTGACAAAAATTGTGATTTACTAACATTTTAAATTGAGTATGCAGTTTTGTTGCCCTAATAAAAACTAGCATAGGAAGGTTTTCGAATTGAAATTAAAGCATTTTTGGCTTAGTTATGAGATTTTTAAAATTAGATTTCTATTAAAAAATTCCTTATAAAAAATACTTCATAAAGACCCAAAGAAGGGTGTTATTATTTTTATTTATTATATACATTTTAAATTGAATAACTGAGTATGCAGATTTATTACCATAAAAGATCACAACCTAGGGAAGCTATCCGAATTGGAGTTAACACTTTTTTGGCTTAGTTATGAGATTTTGAAATTTGATTACTATTCAAATTTTCATATAAAATATACATAAATAAAGAGTCAATAAATGGTACTATAAGATTAGTCAGAAGCCTGTAAAACTGTGAAGGAGTCATTTCCGACCCCATAAATGATATATATTCTTGATCAGAATCAACAGCTGAATCGATCTAGCTATGTCTGGTTGAAAAAAAATTTTGCCAATTCTTTCGATTTTTGCAAAAAACTAGCATAGGAAAGAAATTAATGCATAAAAAGAAATTAATGCATTTTTGACAGTTATGCATGTTTTAAACTTTGATTTTTCGAATTATTTGTCCTATAAATAAGTCAATATCGGTGTGCTGAATTTTCGAAAATTTGAAATTAAAATCTTTCTTCTGTTTGTAATTTAATCAAAAGTAATTAAAATGTAACATGTATAATTATTCCTATGGCACTTACAGATCCCAATGGAGAACAGAGCAGATTAACTGGATGATGGGTCAGGAGATCCGAGACTCTGTGATAGGTTTCTTTGGTTTTGGAGGTATTAGTCAGGCAATTGCCAAGCGCTTGCAGTGCTGGGATGTTTCCAAGATCCTTTACCATACCAGAACCCGAAAGGAAAACGATGGAGACTTCAAGGCACAGCACGTGTCCTTTGAAACCCTGCTAAAGGAAAGCGATTTCCTGGTGGTGGCTGCTCCACTCACCAACGAAACAAGGGAAAAGTTTAATGCTCAGGCCTTTTCCCAGATGAAGAAGTCCTCCGTGTTTGTCAATGTAGCAAGGGGCGGTGGGTATTAATGGTAACTTAATAAATTTAAGAAATATTTTATCTATAATTTTAAAGGACTCGTTAATCAACCGGATCTGCATGAGGCCCTGGCCAGTGGAAAGATATTTGCTGCCGGCTTGGATGTTACCACTCCTGAACCACTGCCAGCGGACAACCCACTCCTTAAACTGCCTAATTGCGGTGAGTTATGATCTTCATTTTATATTTTTATATAGTTTAATATATACTTTATGTATCTCTTAGTTATCCTACCCCATATAGGTACGCAGACCATGAAGACCACCATTGAGATGAGTCTCTTGGCTGCCAACAACATTCTTAATGCCATGGAGGGAAAGCCCATGATAAAGCCTGCCTTCTGATTTTATTTCAAAAGAAAGCATACATATTTTTTAAAACTATTATGTAATAAAATTTTTACAAATGGATTGTATAAAAAAATTTAAAAATAAAAAATATATGCACATAAGACAATTTCATCAATAAATCACAGTTTTAAATATCTAAAAACTCGGCCAAAAATCATTAATTAGTTTTTATTAGGTTAATAATTCTGCATACTCATTTTTAAATCTTAAAAAATGATTAATGTGTAGTTACATTTTGTTTACCCTTTCCCTAATTTTATTATATGTATTTATTCACACAGTTTTGTTTATGAAGGCTCTCTGAAAGGTAATCTGTAGTCAGCTTTTTCCAGGTGATAAGTGTGAGAGATATCTGGCACTCTATAAATGCGAGTTACCAATGCTAAAAGTTTTTCAGTCGTTACAGAAACGCGGAGCTGAAAAGTCTGTGGAATACTGAGGGTAATATATTTCGTATCTTTTTTAAGAGCTAAAAAGCTTTCATACCACGCTCTTAAATAAATTTTGACAACTAAAGAGAAAAACTGCGAAACACTTGTAGTCATTATTCAATTATCAAATAGGTTTTCTCTTCAGTTCACATAAAGCCCTTGGAAAATGTCGACAATTAAGCCCTATAAGGTACTCATCGCACACACCGATGTTCCACCGGAGGGAATCGATATCCTGCGGGACAAGTGCGAAATCCTACAGGTGTCAAGTGAACCGCCCAATAATCGTATCGAAGTTCTGGAGAAGATCAGGGGCTGTCATGCCGCTGTTTGGGGAGGTCGAGATCTTCTAAATGCCGAGGTTTTGGATGCTGCTGGTCCACAATTTAAAGCCGTATCTACGATGTCCTCTGGGATCAATAATGTGGATGTGCCGGAGCTGAAAAAGCGGGGAATACCCCTTGGGAGTACTCCCGCCATGCTAACTGTGGCGGTGGCTGATCTGGCAGTGGGTTTACTCATTGCTGCCGCCCGGAGATTCCAGGAGGGGCGAAGGAAGATCGACAGGTAAGTGGGAATCGTATAATATTTAATTTCTTTATTTATACAACTCAACATTTTTAGTGACACCTGGGAGAACTATCACCTTAATTGGCTTTTGGGACAAGATATTCGAGACTCCACCGTGGGTTTCTATGGCTTCGGAGGCATTGGTCAGGCTATCGCCAAGCGTTTGTCTGGATTCGATATCGATCGTGTTCTATATACCACTAGAAATCGTGTTAGTCTGGATATAGAAGAAAAATTCAATGCCAATAAGGTGGATTTCGATACTTTGCTGAAGGAAAGTGACTTCCTGGTCATTGCATCTCCTCTAACCCAGGAAACGCAGGGCTTGTTTGATGCCAAAGCCTTTAATAAAATGAAGGAAACTGCTGTGCTGGTCAATATTGCTAGAGGAAGTAAGTTGTTAATGATTCGAAATTATTATATATTTAATTTGTTATGATTGTTCCATAGAAATTGTCAACCAGGATGATCTTTATGAGGCTTTGAAATCAAACCAAATCTTTGCCGCAGGCTTGGATGTAATGGATCCCGAACCGTTGAGGTCGACAGACAAGCTTTTGGCTTTGGATAATGTTGGTGAGTTGCCTTAAATCTTAATTTAATATTTAGAAGCTTTGTATTTTTTGTGAGCAGTTTTTAAATTCTTTCTTAATGGAATATTTTTTGAAGGGCAATAAGTATAACAGCTGCAATCTCTCGTTGACTTTCTTGACAACCAGACGACACCTTTGCCTGTTATCTTTTAAGTCCCATTATCTTAAAGTGTTTGATTAATTTCTCATGTTCTATGCCCCAACAGTGGTCACTCCTCATGTGGGCTATGCTACGAAGAGAACTCGCATCGATGCTGCTTCCTTGGCTGCCCATAACGTCCTCCGAGGATTGGCTGGGGAACCCATGTTGTCACCCGCTTATTAATTGCAAACAAAATTAAGGAAAATGTATAGTATTATGTTGATACCGATTTCAAATGTAAATAAAATTTGATTAAGACCCATACAAATACGCGTTTCTATTCACTGGGACTATTTGTATCTTCTTTTACCACATGCGGTAAGTATACTGGATCCCATTCCTCCCTTTGCAACGCCTTCAGATACTTGATCCTCTCTTGGAGCACCCGCTGCATTAGATCCGGTTCCTCCACTCGATGTTTCTGAGCAATCTCCAGAGCTCTCCGCCAGTTGTGCATCCTGAGGGAGAGACCCACAGCCTGCTGAATCTTTCGGCCATGCAGTAGGATTGTCTCCGCCTCCAGCATCCTTCCCAGCATCAGCGAATTCTCTGCCATCTGCTCGGCACTCGAAGGCGTCAGTGTCTTCAGGTGCTGCAGGTAGCTCACCTTGTCGATTTGCAGGGCGGCAGCATAAGCCTCCTCGCTAATCTGCAGCTGGTGCTTCCTGGTGGCCACCGCTGCCAAGGTGGCCCACAAGCTGGCATGTTGTGCCAGCCGGCAGATCTTCAGCGCCTGTGGCCACTGGCCCTCGAGGAGAGCGCGATGCAGGACCTCGCAATGGATGTTCACATTGACGGGTAGCAGGGCACCAGCACAGCGAAATGTGATCACTGCATCCTCGAAGCTCTCGATGGCAATCTGTTTACCGAACTCTCTACAAAAAATAGGAAGAGTTTAGGGATGAGTTCATATAAATTATAAGAAACTTACGCCGTGTCCAAGGTAATTGTGGTGAGGGCAATGATTGTGGGATCGGAGGCTCCTTCTCCGGGACAATACCAAATGCTGTAGCAGGAATCGTGCACTCCCACCAGAATGTTCGTCTCACTGGCCCATTTAATTGCTGTGAGCTGTGTTCCAATCTTGTATATCTCGTCGGTTCGCTCCCCGGTAAGATTGCGGGACTCACTAACGAATAGTTCCCTATTGGAATCTATAAAAGCCACAAACTGATCATCCGGTGTGCCTGCTCGACAGGCTGCAATCTCTGCCAGCGGCTGCTTGGCTCTCAGCGAATGCGGATCATACTGCCGCGAGGCACCTGGTATTAGATCGAATAAATGCAACAGAGTGGGATCTGAATTATCACGAATGGCCAGGACATCGAGGCCCAGAGATAGGGAGCGCCAGGTGAGCAAGGGAATCTGCGCCTGGGAGCCAGGATAACGAGGATTTAAATGAAGGCGACCCGTGTAGGTATACACCCATATAGATGAGGCATCCAATATCATAAAGTATCTGTAAGTATGCATAATGTTTAAGAGAGAGTATCTTTTAGATAAAAAATAAGCTTATACTCACTTCTTGCCCACCTCAATGACCCTGGTATCATTCCTTCCATCGACTATAATCGGTGTATTGATATACTTCTCATTGTAGATGTGTATTTGATGCATGGTGGCCACCACCAGGTGTCCATAGCCCAGACCGAAATTAATTACGCGCTGTGGAAAATCCAGGACATCCTGGGTACCATTGGCAATGTCCTTCAGGGCAATTGATTTCCTACTATTGCTAGTTGCCTTCAGATTCCTAGAGATCAGTTGCTGCTCGATGACATAGGCCACTATAAGCTGACCTGTGGAGGTGCCACAAGCCACCTGAGTGCCATCCGCTGACCAGGACAAGCTGAAAAACGAGCCCACACTGGGGGCTGTAAAGCGGGCACTGTTGTAGGACCACTGAAATTGTAATTAAATATTATTAATTATAAATGAGAAGGAAGTAGGACTAGGACTCACTCCAGAGCTGTGACATAGCTTCAGCAAATTAAAAGTGCCCACCAGCAGGTAATCCTTCTCGGGATTAAAGGCCACACTTGTGATGGCAAACTCGTCGGCGGCACTGGTAAAAAGATTGGCACCCTGGGCATCCCATATCTTGAAGCGAAAGTCCTCACCACCGGAGGCTATCACATTGGACTGGGCAGACCAACTGAGTGAGAGGACCAGCCATCATGAGCACGCCACTATTGGATATGAAATAAAGTAATTAAATAAATGAATTCCTAATTAAATAATGAAAATCTGTCAATATATCTCACCCTGATGAGCTTACTATTGCCGCCAAAGGTTGATGGACACATGCCTCCCTGGCAGAACACAATCGAGGTAGAGTTCGGGCCCAACGAGCGCAGCGTATGGCCTCCTCGTTTTGCACCACCGTGGAGCGTAGCATACCGGATCTTGACCAGATCTTGATGACCCATCCTCACCGGCAGTTAGTAAGCCGGCACCATCAGGACTCCATCGCCCGAACTAATAGCTGCCCCATGGGCCGAATACTTCGCTCCACCGGGCACTCTTATTGAGAATCACGAAACGACCATCATTACTGCACACCAGCAGGTATCGCTTCCTTTGCCACCGCCACTGCTCCGTCCACCGAGCAGGAGCCATGGAGTCCGTGGGCACAAAGTCATCCGGCAACTTGGCTACCTCCACCGAGTCCGGGTTACATCGCTCCACTTGAAAATCTGATGATCATCACTGCAGGGAGGTATGAAGATATTAAAAACACAATTAATATTAAAGGTAAATTATTAATAATGGATGATGATACCTCACAAAATATATCTCCTCATTGCTGCTCCAATCCACGCAACTCAGTGGATAATTTGAACTTCTTTGGCTGCCTTCATCTCCCGTCTCGGTGGCTTTTAGGGAACTCTTTTTGCAGAGTCGCGTTCGTAGCTTCATGGCGACTATAATTTTTATGAAAACAAAAATATTTCCTTTGTTTTGGCCAAGCAACTGGTTGTCAAGGGGACCTAGTTTTATTTTGGTTTACATTTATGCAAGTTGCCATGGTTTTGAAGGGTTTTTTATCGTAACAAGTGGTTGTGATATAGGGAGTACACATAGTGTTACGATATTCAAGTTCGGTGGAAATATTCACTAGATCTTAGCACTTTTATACAATTTCTCCAGAGTCTTTTTATAGTTCCTATAAAAAGTAATCTTACCACACTGATCTTAATATCGTAAGTGGCGGGATTGGTATTCGCGGTTGTGGTAAAGGATGAAACGAATATTGTGAGTCGTATCTCAAATATTATTGAGCTCTGATTGATTTATTCGTTTTGTAAAAAAATACACACGATTTTATCATATTTTAAAACCATGCATAATATGTAATATAATATAATACTAGGATCTGAAATTTTTACTAAGCAAAAACAACTTTATATCGTTGGTTTTGATATTGACTTTTTTACTATAAAATTTCGGCATTCAGAAGATTTTTATTAAACAATAACAGTCTCTTTAAAACACAAATTAAGTATATTATAAATTATTCTATTTTATAATTATACTCTTTAATAAAACCCATCATATATTTTACAGCTTATCTAAATCTTCCCTTACTTTGTGCGATCTTATTACAAGTTTTTAATTTCTTAATTGCTTAGCCTCGTTTCCGCTGTTGTAATCAACTCTATAAGCAAATTGTCTGAGATCAAAGGCACTCTATTTTTTTGGGAGTCGCATTGAGTTAAGTTAGTAGGTAGCCTATAATTAAGGTTTATTATTTAGTCAAGCAAGCGAAACCGTTTTCACCAGCAATTTGCCGTAATCATTGTCAGCGACTGAGACGCAGATGCGAATTGTTCAGACAAACAAGATTTTTTGGCCGACGGAAAGGCTTAAACGTGACGAGATCAGATTCGAACATGAAGGGCAAATCTTACGCTGATTAATATAAAAACTTTCTGACAATTACCCACAATTCCACTTAATTATTAAACTTCCCTCTGTATTAATTACTTCCGTTTCCATTTAATTGCAGCTCCACTCACTAAATGGCTTTCAGCATAATGACCAACATAAGTTCCTCAACAAACTAATCGATTTCTGAAACAGGCTTCAATTATTTTCTAATTTGTTTGCACCACAGAAGGTATTTCATCAATAAATCGGTAAAAATTGTACTAATCATGGCACCCCGCAGGGAAACTCACACGTCAATGGTGTCCGATTTTCTTGGCTTTCCATATCCAATAGAACAATCAATCTATATAGTGGAAATCTACGTGGTTCTGTCTTATCATCCCCCACAATTGTCTTGTTTGGTTTATTGTCTTGGAGGCGTAGTTTATTGGATTTTCTTGACAGAAGTGACACATTTCAATGTTCTACGAACTAGCCCAACTCATTTCTCATGTTTCCAAGTACATTGGCTTTTTGGATTTTCCTTATTTGTGTACGAGTAAAAGGTTTTTCTTTTGGACAATCGTGGAATAGTTAGAGTTTGGGGAAGATAATTTCATACCAAAGTGATTGGCCGATTATTCGTCTGGCCATTGAACTGGGACTACGAATATAATTGGTGCTTTTGATCAAATCAATGCTTAGAAAAGTATAATAAAAGTTTCAGACAATTTCTATAAATGTCAAGAGCTATAAATATTGCAATAAATAAAAAAAAAATATATAGATATGCTAAGCGTTAAATAAGTTTAACTTTATTTATTATACATATATACTTTCAATTAGTATCTTTCCTTGATGAAGGAACTTTAGGGAACATCTTTTATCTTCTACTGTAGTAAAATCCAAAAAACTAACCACAGTCTGTCATAAAAACTTTATGTTTTTAACGTCTGAAACCGAATGCAAAACAAACTTTATTAAATTTAAACGCACTCCCTGCTCGCTGTCATAAAACACACATAAATCCAGCTCACAATTATGGATTTGCAACATTTTTGTGTGGCACATTTTCGCCCCTCAGCATTGCAGCATTGCATTTCCTTATCAGAGCATTGCACTTGATTAGACTGGCGACACTCTGATGGCCAAATCGAAGTCAATATCCAATTGAAACTGTCTGAGTGACGGCGATGCTTTTGACGACTGCAACCAACTCTGACGGTGGTGGTGGCTCTCCATTAAGCGTCAAATGGTGCGAAAAATAAAGAACAAATCGATGGGGAACAGTGGGTCCTGGAAGCTTAATATCTAAATATTTTATATTCAATGCCAATGCCTTAAAATTACCTTTAACAACTTCCCTTGCCCTTATGAAGCTAGTAACACAGTGAAGGAGTCATTTTCGACACTATAAATCATATATATATTTTTTTTTAAATGATAAGGGGTTACATATAAGTTAAAATTGAGTATTAACCTAATAAAAACTAGCATAGGAACGTTTTCCGAATTAAAATTAATACATTTTTGTCTTAGTTATGAGTTTTAAAACTTTGATTTATCGAGACCTTTATCATATAAAAATATCCATAAATATCCAATTAAAAATGCGAATTTTTTAAACTTACTTATGTTCGATTTGCCATTCAATTCTATAATTCAATTCCAACTGTAAGGCTATAATTACTTTGGCATCTCGAAGTTAGTTTCCCTTCTTGTTTCGTATAACTTTCTTAAAGTTATTAAGATTAATTTATAATATAGCATATAATAAACAGAAAGTACCTAATATCTTTAAACCTATATTATTCCGTGTGCCACTGTGCTGCCATTGAAACTGCAAGTGTTTTGCGGCCACCATTAAAAGTGCAGCCACATCGCGGAGCTGTGGAGCTGTGGAGCTCGTAAATGTAACGTAAACGCCAAACCCAACCCGAACTTCGTTCCGCCACAAATCCACTCCAACCCAATCCGAATCCGAAAACCGAAAAGCCAAAATAGCCCCGCCAATGGCGGTATTATTCTTTCCGTTGAAAGCCCTCTTTCAATCGTTTTGGCTTTCAACGATCTCACACGAATGCCATGGGGTTGGGTTCGTTTTGTTATTGGTTCAACTGTCGCGTAGTTTTCAGTACTCATTGCTCAGTGTTCAGTGTTCAGTGTTCAGTTCTCAGCTTCAGTTCGCGGCAATTCAGTTTCTGTTTCTGTTTCAGTTCGCTGTCAGTTTGTCAACGGGTCGCATGCGTGTTCGGAAAATCGAGTGTATTTATCTGTATATTTTTTGGTAATATTTCACAAGGCAACGTGAAATACCAATATCCCTACTTTAAAGTGCAGTGCAGTGTGCAGTGAAATTTATAAATAAATAAATTTATAAATATTTTAAGAAAAAAATAATAATATTTAAAGCCATGAGGTCCTACGGTTCAACAGGCTGCCTTTTGCTGGGCTTATTCTCCCTGCTGATGCTGCTTAATACAGGTGGGTCTCTGGCTCCGAGTACTTTTCCACCTTTTGTGCACCTGAGCACCCCATGAAATCGCAGCTAATTAAGTGAAGGGAGCGCACGGACTTTGCTCAAGTGCGTGGGTGCGTGATTTTCCATTTAAATGTGCAACAAAATGCCAAGCCAAGGGTTCAGTGAACCAAGTCAAAAGGGTTCATGTAAGCGGAAAATAAGGGGGAAAACTCAGTCAGATTAAAGTAATTGACAGCTGTTGCAAGAGTGCAAAAAACGTTTAAGAAAAACTAAGAAAATTTAAAGGAAAACGTGACGATAATATATAGTTAAATATTAAAAATAATAATTTAAAATAAAAAGTGTCTAAAAGCTGACAAATGTATTAATAAAATTCTCTAAATAAACTAATTAAAGTACAAAACTTACCTTAAAAAAGAAGAAAGAAAACTAAAATTTTATTGCTTTAAGTTTGAATGCTAAATTAACTAAGACAAATTTAATGGTCCATAAATTAAAACTTAATTATATTTTGTTGCCTTAAATTCCGCCGGTTTTTTGCTTCCATGGATTGCAATAATTACTTGTAATTACAGACCACAATCAATTGACCTCATTGATAAGCCTCTTGAGTTGCATGGCCATCTGTCTGCACTTCGTTAACATTTTCTTTACAATTTTTTTGCATTATCAGAGCAATTCGCTTGACATCTGAAATCCACTTGAAATACCTGAAATTCAGGAGAGAAGAAAAATGAAAATCTGGCAAGCGTTCGCCAACAGCTTCATTTTCCATGATTTATTGATATTTATGCACTTGCCCGATATATATATATAATTTTTTTTTTTTTTGGTTGTGCCCCAGCTCGTTTGTGTTTATTTTTACTTCAATCGCCTGACGTTCGAATACAATGAGAACAAAAATATTTTCACAACCTTAAAATTACGGAGAAAATGACGAAAAATGAAAAATGCTTGGCACTAATTAGATTATATTTGGAACATTAAAAAAGGGTGTGACATATTCGTGAGATTTGCAAAAACATGCAACTATTTTATCATTTTATTGTTGGGAATGTCTTCATTATGTAAGAGTGGTTATAAACCCGATTATATATATTTTGTTCAAGTCATTACTCAAGCACTTTTCAAATTTTCCTTGGAAAAGCGTGCCACATATCTGGCTTGTCATCAACTAAAAGTTTATTTGTGTTTATGCTACGTGGGCGTGGCCAGGAGTAGTCGCAACAAATGACAGCTTTGAGTGGCATAAACTTAATGCCACCAACTGACCACGACAGTCCCCATAAAAAGTGACTCAGCTTGTAATAAACCCTAGTCATTTAAATCTTAGGTTTAACATTATTATTTCTGGTATTCGCAAAACAGCTCATCTGATTGTCAGTTCCCCGATGAGGCATATCCAGCCTTAACCTTCCACTTATCTTAATTGTCAGTTGCGGAGATCGTCTTAATTAATAATTCTGCCAGGGCCAAGCCTAATTAAATCATTCAGCTCTTACTAATTCACTGCAATTTACTGGGGCATAAAATGCAGTCATCTTGAATATGGAAACTAGACTGGATTCGAAATCCCTGAGAGAACACACCCACCCCCATGACAATGCAAAACCGATTAATGTAAACGTTTGTATAGAAAATCATATATAGTGCCAAGGAAATTATTGATTTCAAGGTTCATAAGCAGAGATTTTAACCAATTTTGTATTGTATAATAATCTATATCTAAACGAAAAACAGGCTATGATTTTTTCTATATTTTCTAAACTACTTAAAACTTATCTAAAATTATTTTGGGTGGACGGAATAACGCCAGGCATAATATATAAAATTATATAGAATTCCTGAAGGGGTTTCGTGCTCTTTTATTACCAATGTGTTGTTATTTATAGTCAATTTACAGTTTATGGACATGTATAGTATTTTTGAATATTTTTCTACTTTTTAAGGGTATTATAAGTTTAGGCAGAAGCATGTAACGCAGTGAAAGAATAATTTCTATATATCATATATATTCTTGATCAGCATTAACAGCCGAGTTGTTTTCCAGTTGAAAAATATTTTCCCAAAAAAAAATAAAACATCGTTAAAATTGTTAAAAATTTAATTTTCTAAAATTCTAAATTATCTATGCAGATTTATTAACCTAATAAAAACTAGTTAGGAATGGTTCCAAATTTAATTTATACATTTTTGACTGAACTATGATAAATTTTTCTCTGAAAGGGCATAGAAATTTCGATCCCGAAGATTGCTTCCTTTTTTTGTTGATATGTTTATTAAGAATATATATAAAAAATGTATAAGATAAGTGAAGCAATAACTATTTCAAAATCATGTTTCATATTGATGAAATCTCTATTTAAGGTCATTTGTTATAGAAAAACACACATTGAATAATGCACAAATATGTACAATAAAGGCGCAATCTATCGGAGACACTCCCTGTAGCCCTTCCCTTTACATTCCAGCGATTCTCGATGCATTTCAATATACCTAATTACCTAGGCATTCGGGCCAATTGCGCTGCAATTTTGATAAACGTTCGAGGAGCTCAATTTAGCATTTGGCATTTTCGCTCAGTTGAATGAACTTTGATGGCATGTCAGTCAAACTTTCCATTGAACCTTCAATGCATTTGTGTTTTTTTTTCGGGTCACAAAACTTAGCCCCCCGTTTCACAGAAACTCCTCACACACTCGTAATTTTTTTGCAAGGAGCTTAATGGGGAGTTACTGATATGGAGCCCCATTTTATGAGAGTTTTCAGAGGGGGAAAAACAGTAAAGAAGAAAGTTGGGGCTGGTAATCAACACGTTTCTTATGGGGCAAAGTCTAGGGTTATGAATTTCCAGGGGGTGAGATCGAAATATGTTGCAAGTCCAACTTGCGGCCTGCCTCAAGTTTTGCGGCTTAATGGAAAAATTGCATGTGAACCCCGATGGGTGTGTGTGAATGTATGGGAAACTCTGTGCCCCATTGTTGGGGACTCTGACTTTCAGTTGAATATGTACATATATGGTATATGTACTGCAGTTACAAATGCCGAGGGCAATAAACTCCAGCGACTTTATAGGCCTAGCTGTCATTTTCACAAGTTTACTGACATTAGTTGTGGGCCTGTGGGCCGTATATGCTGTATTTGAATATGCATTTAAGGGTTGAGTTTTCTAGGGAATATGCAGAATGAAATGAAAAAAAAAATACCAAGGAAATAAAATTGTAAATAAAGAAAATATATAAATATACAGAACGGCTGTAGAAATATTTTTTATGGTGTTAGGCTTAACCAGAATATATTCTTTAAATAATTTAAATAATAGAAGGAGTCTCATATAAGATAGATAAAAGTGTGATATTTTTAGAAATACATTCAATTACATTATAATTTCTTAATGCTGCAATAAATAATATACAAGATTTTAGCATTTAAATAAGAGCCAATAACATAAGGGAAAAATTTCCTATGCAAGAAATTGAAGATTTTAAATATAAATTGTTTAATTAGACAGATTATAAGGTTCTAAAGTTGTAAAATTTACATACAAATATATTATAAATTAAAGATTTATATATATTTTACACATTGACAAATATTTTCTATAAATTAAATGACTCTCATTGATTTAAAGTTTTAATATAATTTAATGAAGCAGCTTATTACTATTATGCAATTTATATTGGCATAAAAACAGTTTGCCTGTCTGGAAACTTAAGATCTATTTTTCAAGCCAGATTCTATTTTCTTGTTGTTTCCCGGGACCCCCGTTCCTCGCGATGATTAAAGCCGAAATTCCAATGACCAAAACTATTGGCGAAAACATCTCGTCCAACAAATACTTACGCACTTAGCAGACCCCAAATCCGAAACCGAATCTGAAGCCAAAATAAAAAAAAAAAACGGATTCAGAATGGGAATCGGAATCGTACTCGAACTCGAATGCGTTTTGGCCATGTTTGGGAGGCAGTTGCGGCTGCCACAACAGTTGGCATAATGCAAGGCACAATATCAATTTTCCACGAGTTGCAGCGGAATTACAGTCATTACCATTAGTAAACTGCCACCGACGGCGAGCGGACGCGCAAATAAACAATTCAGCAAACGATCTGACAATTCAACTGTCAATTAATTTCAATATATTGTAAATGATTATAATTTCCATCTCAGTTTCGCATACGCTTTTCGCGCACTTTTTCGGCTCTCAATTGCCAAACGTTTGGCAACGTTTCTGCCAATGCGAAAAACGAATGCGAATGCGAATCGAACGCAAATTGCAATGTTTATGCCGCTTGTTTATGGCCAAATGCGGTCGTTGACTTTGCGGTTTAAGTTTTGGTTTCAGCTTCAGCTTCAGTTTTCGGCTTCTACCAATGCGTTTGGCTGGCACACTTCTCCCGCCTTTTTCCCGCCACTTATCTAGGCTTTCGTTTAAGCGCACCTCAACGTGTTGGCTAAGTGCATTTAACCCGAACGTTAGCGTTTGACGTTTAAATTGGCCAGCCGAAAACTTGTTTTATGGTCGCCATCATCTTGGCCGTGGTCATCATCATCACTCAAGTGTTCCCGTAGTCATACACCGAAGAATATTAATTGGGAAGTTTCACTTCTAGAAGGAAGAATTGTTATTAAATGAATTTTAAAAGTGATTGTTTCAAATTAAGTATTTTTTGAGACATCTTAAGGCAGGTATATAAAAAAGCAAAGAGGTTTTATCCCTAAAGAAGTCTCTATCTAAAACCTATTCCGAAACAATAGAACTATTTTTACAAAGTATTATGACTACTTAAAAGACATATTCATTTGATTTAATTAGATATTGATTTATAAATTATAAAGATTGAAGATCCCACTTTTTTCTCTGTGCTGTCACAATTGCTGGCTTCGTTTAATCAAATAATTATTTACACACAAGTCCGGGCCTGGCTAATCGCACGCATAAACCAGCCTTAGCCGAACTTTTTGACACTTTTATAAGGCAGTTGCCCCATAGGCTGTCCCATAAATAACTCTGGTCCGGCTTAGACTCAGCTTCTGGACTCAAATTAGTGGCGGCTCTGAGCAGTATTTCAAAGATATCCGCCAAAAGGCAATGCACACACATAGCAGGAAATGATGGCCATTTCGGTTGAGCTTCGATTCATTAGCGGATCAGTTATGGATTTGAAAAGCAATAATTACTTAGTTACTTTATTATGCTCTTGACCAGCTTCGGTTCCCAGGAAAACGGGAAGTTTTTTTGAGAGCAACAGAATAGGTTTAGAATGGGGGAAAAGCCACATTTACATTTCTCCAATTGTTCCCGTTTTATTTATTTAATAATCCTTAATTAATAACACCTAATTACCATATTTTTTAGCTTCTGCTGTGCTGCGTTGCTGGCGCTGCTCCACGGATGTATCCAATGGCGAATTCTGCAACGATCCCTTCCAGCCGGATGGCATTTCGGAGCAACAGCGCTACTGGAGCTACGTGAACTGCACCTATTCGGTGGGCGTGAAATCGGTGAATGCTCGGCCAGTCTGCAAGAAACTGGTGCAGGAAGGTGAGATCAAAGACCATACATATCTTTAAGCCATGTAGCCAAAACCCCACACACATACACATCACCCAGCAGTGGCAGTGGCAGTGCACTTCAAACAAAAAGTCAAAATAATGCCACACATGAATAATTGTGCACCCGTTGCAGTTGCATTGTTATGTAGTGCTTGTGAGGTCTTTGGATAGGTTACACTGGGGAAAAATAGAAAAAAATTGGAAGTAATTTTACAAAATATTTAAAAATATGAATATGTTAAATTTTTGTTGTTAAAGTCCCAGAAAAAGTCTTCTGAAACATAGTAGATGTTTGAATCTAATTAATTTAAATATGCTGTGTTTCAGATATTATTTGGAGCTTAGAATAATTTAAGAAGCAGAACAAAAATATTTTAAAAATAGCTTTTATAAATGCTTTATTTTTAATTCTATTTCTGGTATTCAATAATTATATTAATGTTGTAAAATTTGGATTGCCTTATACGCTTATCCTATTAAAAAAGTATAAATAATCTTTGCAGTTCACGTATTTGTATGAAAACACTCAAGAAATATATTTATTTATTACTTAACATTATTTTCTTTAAATTATCCTTAATTTTCTTCAAGTGTACATCCACACTATATAGCTTAAAAAGCCAAGAGATCAGATCAGACGATCGACAAGACTCACACCCGGCTGTGGCTTTAAGTCAAACGAGATTGAAATTTATTGCCCTGACAAAGTCCAAACAAGTGCAGCAAACACAACCAAACACAGCAAACAAAAAGTGCAGCTGCTGGGCGGCAAAAGGGGCGTGGCTGGTGGGGTGTAAGGCGGGGCAACAACAACAGCAACAACAAGTGGCGACATTTTGGCCCGCTGAGCCGAGTTGCATGTGCCGCTAATTTACAGCAAATTTATGAAGAGAGAGAGCTGGCAAACGGGGCGTATGAGTGATATAGGTTGTTTTACTTTTTTATTCGACGATCTCAAGTCCGATTTAACTTGTCGCCTGTCTGGTTTATGGCCGGTTTTATTGTTGTGGCGATTTGTGCATTTGCATTCAATCACAAACAAAAGAAAATCAAACTTTACGCCTTTTTTTTGTATATGTTTTTTTTGGCCAATTTGCCAAGCGTTCCGTGTCGCCACATTTCGATCTAAATTCACTTTGCACGACAGCCGCGCATAAATTTATGCCAATCAGCCGGCAGACGACTCGACTACGGCTTTGGGCCTCATTATGTAGGCCATTGATGGCTAAACAATGCATTGAAAATAGTTGTTGTTGACTTTAAATTATGTAATTCTACCAGCAAAGGCTTTATTGCGAGCTGAATAAGGGCACAAAGCCATAAAATGGAAGGTTGCTATTATTTTAAGTGCAATTTGTGACATATTGTTAATTTATGGTTAATAACACAAGGGAGTCATTTTGAAGCATAAGCTACTAAATATAAAATGTAATTCAAAGTTTGATTTAAATGAATATCTCGTAAATAAAAACAAGAAAGGAAACTAGCTATGAAGCCAAAGTTTATATACTCATACAGCTTAAATTGACTTATAGGATCGAATCGAAAATCGATCACAACTACGCTTAAAATATTCGTAATAGTTGATCGATATTTATTTAATTAAAAGTCAAAATAACTAAGCCAAAAATGCATTAATTTTAATAAGTACTAATACTTTTTTTATATATTTCTTTGGTTTTTTTAAGTTAAATTAATAACAGCCTTATTTAAATACGTTTTTCGTTTAATAAATCATTTCGATAATTATAAATTAATCTTTCTTGCTCTAATTTAACTTATTATATTTTTTGTAAGCTTTAAGTTGCCTCCGATTCTGCTAGGCATACGGCGGGCAGGGATTTCCGATCCGCATTTAAGTAATTTTTTCTTTTTTATGACCAATTAATGAACACCATTAAATTTTTGCAATCAAGCGTCTACAAATTGGCCTGGCGAATATTTGCAAGACTTGCGCCTTGGCAGTTGGCAGTTGGCAATTAAAATTGCAATTGCAGACTCTCAAATGAAATCCGAGGCTCTGTCGTCTCTGCGTCTCCATATCTCTGCGTATCTGCGAATGTTTGGGGCCTAAGCCCAGCTACATGAGCAGCGCTTGTAATGCGCAAAATACATAATATACGAGATCGAGCGGCTATGGAAAAAATATACACAAAATACATATAAATTAATTAAGTTGTTGCACAGCGTGAAGCGCTCAATTAGGGGTCGCGAGGAAAATCGGCGGAAAACGCGGCAGCAGAATGTGTCTGAGAAAAATGCAACTAGGCGATGCAACTTGTTGTTGCCATGTGCGAGTGCACCGATCAATTTATATGCCGTTAAATTAATTGCCTATGAAGCTCAGCTGGGCTTAGACGAGTGGCTGACTTTTTGGCAAAATGTCAAATTAAAAATGTATTCCATAATTCTGCCACCGGACGAGACCGGGGGCACTCCGGAGCCCAAATGTGAAGCCAAGCAATTAGCCGCAGGCTGTTGGTTTTTACTAGTGACTTTGGCAACAAATATTTTCGCAACCAATGTTCAAGCCCCAAAAAGCTGAAAGCCGGCCTAAGACCATTTTGGTCGACTGCTAACAGCTTATTCCAATCCAATATTTTCTCTCGGGACGTGTCGAGCCAAAAGGGAGAGTTTATATCGTCAATGTTTGATTTATATGTTTTGCTTAACAAGTCACTGAAATTAAATTTAATTGAGCTCCTTATAAATAAAATACTAAAGAGTAAATAATAACAAGCTATATATTTTAAGTAATAAAAACATGAAGTTAGACTACCAATGAATAAGATAATTATGATTGGTAGAGTTTAAATAAATAATACTTACTGAAAGTGTTTAAAGACTTTATTATTTATTAACAAGATTTATTCAGATAAGTTGTATTTCATATCAATATGTAAATTTGAATATGAAATAAATATAAATCTAAAAAATCTAGAGGTCTTTCCCTTGTTTTGAATGAAAATAAATCCCCAGAGATCTCTTTAGCTAAAAATAAGTTAATTTATGTTTACGTTCCTTCTACTATTTCTTAATCTATAATAAATATTAGTTTTAATTAATTAATAAATATATTAAATTAAAAATCCTTAAGAAATTGAATCCCTGCTGATAATAACATATATATAAAATTTCCCAGAGTATAATAACTTCGACTCTAGGCAACCTCTCCAACTCTCTTTTCTATTTTGTTTTGATTTGCCATGTTTGTTTCAGCATTTTTTTGTCGTTTTAAACATACATAACGAGCCATAAATAATTAAATTAATTAAAATTTAAATTTATTACACTGTGTGTGCGGTAGACAATGTCCGAACGGCATTTTTCGTTGCGTTTTCGTGGCACTCAACCAACTTTTGCGAGCGGAGCACGCGGCGTATGCGCAATGTGGCAATGGGAGACACACACACAACACACACACACACATTCCGAGTGGTTGCTGCATTCTGAGCCTTGTTTGATGCGACGGCCGTGATAAGGCGACAATTGTCAACAATTTTATTAGGCCCACTGTCCACCGTCTGAGCCAATCGAAGCCAATCACGAATATGGTTAGCGTTGACCATTTCGAGCTGGCTCTTAAAGTTCGACTTTTGCCGTGTATTCCATTGGAAATGTTTTTACCAGTTTGTCAGTTTTTTGTTCTATTTGCCAATACGCACACTCAACCTCTGAGCGGCTATTCACGCAATTTGTTGTGTGTGTGTTTACTTATTTATTTATTTATTTGTATTTTTTTGTTGTGCGATTTGCTCTTTCTGGTTTTCATTTGCTGTCCGATTGCAAATTGTCTCTCGTTTCGCCGAGTTTCGAGCTCGTTCGTTTTCGGCAAATCGTGTGCGTTTCACAGGCCTCATTTTGTGGCATATAGCCGGGTCTATATAGATATAGCCCGCCTTGAACCCGTTGTTCGTTGGTGGAGAGGTCAGACCGAGTCCTACTCAAATTACTTTCTTTCGTTCACATAGATCCGTGGGTGCGATTAGGATTGGTTTTTTTTGGCTGAAATTAACATAGAACTTTAAAAAGGATTTGTCTAAAGGTTGTAGGGACTTTATGGGTATATCTTGGTATTATTTTTGTATATAATTTAAAAGGATCTACAAGTTTAAAGAATATTAAAAACTAAAATGCATGGGAGTAAACCAACATTATACTCTTAAGGCAACTCACATTAAATTAACTCAGCACCAGAGAGCTATCCATCAGTCCGGGCTTATACCCCCAGATCATGACCACATGGTTGGCTTTATTTCTATGCCTTGCAGACATTGCAAATGTCATTTCTGAGATATTTTCATGGCTTCCAAGAGACAAGCAAGCAATGCCCACGCCGGCACGTACACATAAATTAAATTTAATGCGCGCTCACACAACACAGAGTAGACCTTAATTAAAATGGTTAAATTTAAATATATTAAACTGCTTTGTACTTACAGTTTACGGCAAGCGAGTAATTTCGCGCTCCTGCTTTTACGAGGACATGGACGATCCGGCGGATAAGTGTGCCAATGACCAGACCTCGTCCTACATCAAGACCGTCTACTGCCGCACCTGCACCACGGATGGATGCAATGGAGCCGGAGGAGCCACTCCTTGGGCCGTGCTGCTACTCCTGCCCCTTCTGGTGGCAGCATTCCGGCAGCAGACATGCAAATGAGCCACGGATCCGGAACCGGCCCGGACTTAATTACGGGACTGCTAGCTGAAGTTAAAGCACCTCTCAGTGCTTAGCCCTCCCCGGACTTAACTGGATTTCTTCAACGAGTTTTTAGTCACTTTGCCCCCACGAATGAACAAGCACAAATCACAAGCGAAGGGATCGGAGTTCCATCGCCATCATCCAGGACCCAACAGAATGGTCTCCCTCACAAGAAACAAGAAAACAATCAGTTATTTGTAGTCACAACTCCACACACACCCATCATTCAACACTCAATCACACACTTAACTTTGTTGTAATTTGTACATCTTTGTAATATCTTTATTATGTATTTGTAATTGAAATGGCACGGCTTTTGGCCGCTGCCTCTTACATAAATAAATAAATCGTAATTAGATGGTAAATGGGTTGTGTTTTTATTGGAATTAAAATAGGTATGTGGTAAGGGATAAATAATTTTGGTTCACGGAATGTTTGTATTAGTGTTGTAACTAGATATTTAATAGTATTTTTAAAATCAACAAAGTCAAAGTCAAATTTGATATCCCTTCATATCACCTTGGCGTTGAAACACCTGACACTCCCACTCCCTTTCCCAAATCTTAAAAAAAATGTTAATGGCCCCCAAGAAGAAGTCCAATCCCGATCCTGGAGTGGCCACCACCTCCTCGAGCCGGCGTCATCGCCTCGATCCTGTGCCGCAGTGGAGTCGTCTGTTGGACCACAATGACGAGGGGCGGCAAAAAAAGAGGAACGAGCGTTACCAGGTGGAGATACCCAACCGGCTGTGGTCACTCTTTGGCAATGTACGGCGGTGGATTCGGTGAAGAAGGATCCAATCCCCTGTGTTCGGCTCCTGGCAGGACATTGGCCTGCTGCGTGATGGCTTGTTGTGCCGGCAGTTTTCATTCGTTGGACTGCTGGGACACGCAGCTGCTGGACAGGATTATGGTGAATGGACAGGACTACCATGATGTCAGCTTAGCTGGCAGACAGCGCAAGGATTTGGGATCGGGCGGTGAGTTGACGCTGGAGAATCTCGGCACCTCCTGCTCTTTGGATGGCCAGCCCTTTTGGCTGGACATCGAGAAGTTCAGTTGCGGCAAGCTGTACAACAAAACCAAGAGCCTCGGCTCCGCCCTCAGTGTCTTCTTTGCCCATCATCTGCAGACCGGAATCCTACAGCTCAGGGATCAGGCATTGGCCTTTGGCTATATCCCGGAATACGCCTCCGGGGGTGCCTTTTTCATGTTCCACTGTCAGGCGCAGGGAAAGCCCGTGTTCAACGATTGCGAGACAGCTCCGTATGTCCTGAGGATGCGCAAGCTGAAGCAGCTTCTCAACTGCATCCTGATCACTCTAGACGAGCGCCATCACAATGTGCCCTTCAAGATACACAAGGTACACTGTGTCCCCATGGCCGCCTACATGTAGATACATACTTATTTAGGAGCGGATATTATACTAAAAATTAATCAGTTTGCGGAGCCTAGGGAGGAGAATTTTTCGAAAATTTTATATCTTCTGATCCAGACAGCATTTCGACTCTCCATTTAAACAGAAATCCAAAATAAAGTTTTTCTAATAAATGAATCCCTAAATCTTTGTGAAGAGAACACAACGCAAACCATAAATTTATAATAAAACAGGAAAGGAAATTAAGTTCCGAAAGCTATTAACTTATTTGGATCATATACTTACAACCAGAATAGCTAAATAAAGCCATTACATATTCCGAGAGATGATCTAATCTAAGAAGAATCATGCACTTTAATGCCACTTTTATTTCTTACAAAAAAAAATACACTTAAATAACAACCCCTGGAGCTCTCCTCCTATCCGATGAGGCACATTAAAAACACATTTCTGCCAAGCAGATCAAAAGTAATTGTCTCACATCACTGCGCTTGACATTGCCGCGACTGTGATGCATTTGGTTTCCTTACTATTATAAAATATTATTATATATGTACATATATCTACAAGATTCAGTCAGTCACCGCCTCGAAGCGGAAATGAGTTCAGTCCCTCATTCAATTGGCGAAATTCTGCTAATTGCCAACCACGCAAATTTGGAATCTCCACAGAATATTCTTTAAGTCCAACTCCGGTTGACTTCTGACCCCTTTGTTGTTAATTGAGCGTAGGCGGAGGAAGACTGGGATTGATAAATTGGTTTAGTTTGGGTGCCGCCTGGTAGCGTGATAATTCCATTATGCTTTAATTAAAATCGCATAAAATCGACGGTGTGTATAAATAAAATTTGTCACATGGCACGAAAACCGAAGGCTGTCATAAAAAAGGAAAACACTTGCGAAAATCCAAAGCAAATAAAAAAATCAAGCAAAAGAAATGAAAATATATGGTAAAATAACCAAAAAAAAAAAAAAAATGGGTGGCAACTAAGCCCGCAAGTAATGCGAATAAAACGTTTTGGCCATTTAAACTTGTCGCACGGCTTTTATTCGTTTTGGTTTTTAGTTGATTTTAGTTGATTTTATTGTTTTTTTTTTTTTGTTAAGTCGTAGTAGTTGTTGGCCAGCGAAAATGTCGTACAGAGTTTCCAATAAAACTGGCCATTTATCATGAGGCAGGCCGGGAAAAAAAAATCAGCTGTTGGCTGCGCATGCGCAAACATCGAAGTCAGTATGGCTATAACCCCGGCTATTCTCGGCCCGATCTGCCAATCGATATTTCACGCTTTGTCGAATTTATTTTGGCTACTGGGAGGAGCCACTAATGCGGCAGATTAGTGTCAAGATTTGCATATGAAATCGTATGTCTGCCAGGTGCGTGTGTCGCCAATTTGGTAAGAGTGTTGCCAAATTTGGCCAATTCCATGGAGCTCATGAATCATTTTCTGTGACACCGCACGGTGGTGATGTGAATCACTTTGAATGCGTTTAGTAGTCGCAGATCCCAGATATAGATACGTCGTTGCCTAATGGCTGGGAAGTGGTTAAAGGTCTCTTTAGCTGATTTATATCGCCTTAAGAGTGTTGTTAGCTGCTCGAAGCTGTGAAGTATCTCACATTTTCTATATATTTATACTGCTTATTGGGATTCTTTTAGGATTCCCAGTAAAGTTGAAAAGATGTGTTGCAAGAAAGCTTTTTTTTGAGCAGCGAATGCCATGACTTATCCAAGTTTGCAACCACTTGCTTTTGGGGTGACCATGCTTAAATTAATTGAATTTAACTTTGGAATTAAAACGTATCTGTAGGCTAGGAAATAACAAAACAAAAATGTTTAAATAATATATAAATAAATAAATAATATATAAATATATATAAAAATATATTTTAAATATTTGAATATTTACAGAAGCTAATCCCCCACCCTTAAACTAAAATCGAACACCTCTATATCGTAAACGTTGGAAATAAAATATCTTAAAGGTCTTCAAAGTAATTTTATTAATAATTATAAACTTTTACTGCAATTGTTTTAATGTTATTTTATTATTTAAATACATACTGAAACCAGCTCTCTGTCATATAATATATCAAGTATAAAGTGCACATTTATACTGTTATTATTATATTTTAAAAGCTTAAAGGTTTACTATAGCTTTAATGGGAATATCGAATTCAGGGCATGTCAACATTGAGACTTATATATAGAAATATCTTATTATATATATATATTGCTTATCAAACAAATATACACTTTATGGTTCAGTTTGCAGAGGGTGTTAAGTATCGCTCTAAGTCCTAAACCAGTTTTTAAGCCAAGTTGGGGGTGGAAAAAGTGGTTTTAAGGCATGAAATTTAATATATTGTAATCACATATTTGTCATCTGCAATGAATAAGGGGGAGCTTGAGGGTTTATAGGTATTTAATTTATTATTTTCTTAGGCTTGACAATTGTTTTAATTATAGGATAAAAATTATATAATTTCTTATAAGGCTCAAGGCAAGAGTAATTTATATAGTAAACCTCATTCCACCTTCCTTCAGTTTTAGTAATCTTTCAATTGCTTCCCCAAATATAATTGACATCCTTTCCCATTTATCTTTATGGATATCTGTTTTCCTAGTTATGACAACACACAGTCTCTGCCGAAAGGCAACGTCATCAATTAAACTGCATTGTGCTCAGGCGGTCGCGCCCTCAAAGAAATTGGGGAAAAAAAGGGCAAGCTGCTACTAAAAACAAGAGCACACCGAATGCGTGTGTCGTCTGGCTGCCTGTCTGCCGGCTCTTCGAAGGATTCGCAAAGGAAAACAAAAATATAAAACTAAAAAGGGAAAAAGGCAGGGGCTTCCCCAGGAAGCAACTGCTCTGCCGACAGAGGCAGCAGCATCTGCGCGGCGTCGCTGCCCTGGCGTTCAGTTGAGAATTTTTCAGTACTATTTTTTTTCCAGAACATTGGCACTCTGGCGAAGAAGCCTCGGTCGGCACTGGCCACAGGCACAGTCGTTCCTCGGCCGAGCAACCGTTTGCATCGCGCGCAGCTCTCGAAGCGATTTTCGATTCCGAATCCCACAACGAACCCTTTTGGCCTCCTCCGAAGGATACAGCGCAATCACCACTACCACCAGCCAGGCGCCACTCAGTCGCAGTCCGCATCTCGCACAAGGATTCCGAGCGAAAAACATTCCAAGGCAGCCATGTCAGCCATTCCGATGAAGGCCTCCTAGCCGGTGTATTCCTCCTGGCCAATGCCTGGCACATCACAGGTGAGCTGGATTTATCAGGTAGCTCTAAGGCGATCGGCAACACGCTCCCCAATAAGTTGGTAAACATAAAGCCCAACGAGCGAGGCATATTTTTCGCATAGTTTATGCAAAAAAATACACCGAAAAATATATCAGATTTTATGTACTATTAACAATGTTCCTCGTGTGTTGATTTTAATATCTATAGATATTTCTTAACATTGGTGAATAAAATTAAGGTACCCTCTGAACAATATTTACTTCTAGTGCTCTAACATATGACCTATGTACTTCTAAAAGATTTTAAAACATGTATCTTTGTATTAAAGATATAACGTTAAAGGAATAAGAACTGCTTAAGGCAGCAGCTATATTTAATTCACTTTCAATATAAGGTGACATTAAATTAAATAATTAGAGATTTTTAATAGTTTTCAAATAATAAAATCTTCAAAAATAAATAAGAAACATCAGTCTTATTAACACTTACAACTTTGCTTTCATAAATAGCGATTTCTAAGACTCTCCCTCTTATAAAATACAGTACTAGTAATAATAATAATTAAAACATTTTCCCTGTAAATATCAAATGATCAATGACTCTAATTTCTTTCTGTGCACCTGTAATTCCATCCACCCCCTCAAGGTCACTGATCCGCATTAAGTTTTTGAGGTGTGATGGTTTTTCTACTCAAAGTCCATGAATGAAATCTGTTTCCCCGTTTTGCTGAACATTTTGTTTATGTAGTTCCCGCTAGAGATTTTACGAGTTTCCCTTGCGGTGTTTATGGAAAAAATAGAAATATTCTCAAAATTATTCTTATATTTGCCGAGAAATGCCTTACAACTAAAAAGAGTTTCAGGTGGAAAACATTAAATGTTCTTGGCACATAATTCCTATGTTATTAGTAAGTCAAAATTTAGGATTTATGGACGACACTTTGTTCAGCACTCAAAATGATGAAGGTGAATGTTGGTTTTATTTGTCGTAAACAAATTAATATCGAATGAGGGGGCCGGAATATAATGAAACATTAATGGGGCCGATGTGAGGCTTAAATATAGAAAGTGCTCATTTGTTTATTTTGTAGGGGAAACACGTGTGGATAGAGTAAAGACAATTGAATGTTGTTTATCAAGAACTATGATTTATTATTAAAGATGTTGCTAAAAAATTGAAAAATATGATGGTTTTTATTTATATGATTACGGTTAATTCAGTAACTTTTGGTATTTACTTTTGTTATAATTTGGAAATGGGTTTTAATTTAGAAGTAACAAAGTATTAGGCATTGGAGGAAGTACTTATAATTAGAATTTAGAAATTTATTTCAAATATTACTTACATTGTAGAGATTTGAGTTATTGAAAATGTCTGTCAATTGTATTTGCTTTAAGAGACATGAAGATTTATTAACCATTCAAAAGTGTATTTATTTTTCCTTCCTATTGTAATAACTAGTTGTAAATTGATAAATTAGATATATATTAGGCTCACTACAAAAATTAACATAAAACCTTTTCTTACTATACATTTATACCCTATTTACGATGTCTTTCAACATTCTTCCTTATTATATATATTTTTCTGTTTGTCTAAAGAAATTCGTGGGTCATTGCTTCTTTGATGAACATCGCGAAATGCACCTATATTTATACACATGCATTCGCATTTCGGTGATTTTCACGCTTTTCCCTGATTGGCAACCTGCACGCCTTATAAATACAAATATTCGACCGACTGCCAGACATTTCAATATTTGTTTCCACAACCATTCCGGTGCGGTTCACACGATTTCCCAAACAGAATGTAAAATGCAGTCCGCTCTGCTGAATATTTCTGAAACGCTTTTAATGATGATTATATGATGATGATGATGATGCAGTTGGATGGAGGACTGTGATTGGGTCATTCTATATAAAGCTTCCCTGTTGCTCTCAATTAGCCCGCTTGGGTATCCTGCAATTATCTAATTGCTTTGTTTTTGCTTTGGGCATCAATCTGGATTTACGCCGTATCCTGGCGGAGACTGCGCATGTCAGAGTGGCGCCAGGATGTCGTCTGCTCCAGTTTCCCGCTGTCTTCGGCATCTGATACCCGCATCCCAGCACTCCCCCCATGGTCCTGGATGTGACAACCCCTGGTTTTGGATGTATGGAAACTATGTCAGAGTCTGGTTTGCCCTCTTCGGGGGTTAGTTCTCATCCGCTCCTGCCGCTCCTGTTCAATGGCATCAATTGCGTAATTTCCACAAACTGATAATGAGTATAAATAGGGTTTGGGGTCGCTCTTTCATTCAGGAAGCGGAGATTGCCCTGACACACATCCGATCCGTATCGTATTATATTTGTTATTCATACATTCTTAACCGAGGGAGCTGCTTTTTACACAGGGGTTGCAAGTTTCAAATAAACAACAGAAACAAAAACAAGTAACAAGAAGCAAGTGGAGTGCAACTTCCTCCAAGTAAGTCTCAGCTTTCAATTTGTAGCCAGACCCTCTAGAGGGAAGCCATACCAAGTCTCACCATGTGCGTGACCTCAGCGAATAGCTCCTCCGGAATGCTAAGCGCGGGCGTTATAAAACCCCACGACCTTGGTGTGTCCATAAATTACACTTGTAAAAATTGCACAGAACTTTAAAACGATGATAAAAAAGGAAACCAAAGAAGGAAACTAATTAAATACTTAAATAATTACTAAAGATGCTGAAGTAGTGAAATCTAAATTTTACAGCTTTGAAAAATTCATTTGATTCGAAAATACAAATATTTTCAATTTATTTTTTGTTTTAATGTATGCCAAACAACTGGTAAATAAAATCAAACAATATTATGCAAATAATTAATTGGAATAAACAAAAAACACAGTTAAATGATGAATGACTTGATTTAAATACAAGCTTGTGCATTAATCAATAATAATAAACTTTAAACTTACAACCAATAGAAAGCCTAAATCCTTTAAATTTTCCAAACTGGCTATTGAATCTATATACCCATTTCATTTCTGGAATGAGATTTTTAATAACTTTCTGTTTAATTAATTAATTCTTTTGAATTATTAAAGAATATCTTTTGTTTCACTCATAAAAAGGAAAGTATTTTTAAAAGGATAAACACACATATCTTTTAAGTGTTAGGACCGAAAATAAAAAAAGGAAAACAATCAATTACTCACACTATAAAAAGCAAGTATTCGCGTCTTCGTCAATTACCTGAAATTGTTCTTGAAATGCCAGAATAAAGGACCCAACAAAGATGGGAAAATGAATAAACAAACGGTCTAAGGTGGGTTTTTTGCATATATGTCCAGTCGATGTGAGCCAACCCACAAGCCATCCTTAGGAGGACTCCAAGCCGTTGACATGCCAAGGCCACGGCATTGAGAGGCTTTAAAACGTATATATAATATCGCCAACTATGGCGTAATAATAATTTAGCAGAGAAGCTTCGCGGAAAAGAAGTATAAAGTGTGTTACAGTCAATATTTGACAGCCACCACTCCTCGTTCAGAATGGAACGGAACCCCTTTCCAGATTGTTTGTCTCCATGTGGAAGGGGGGTCTTGTGGCATGTTTACCTTTTCCTGTGGCAGAAGGCAAACAAGGCGAGTCCCAACGGTCATCCTTTGGCACGTTTCCACTGCCAGGACATGCAAAATTGCGCCAAGGACACAGCCGGCGATCTTGATTCACTGTCAGGCCAAATCACGCAACCTTATCACCATCAACCCAATTAGGAAAGCTTCGCGGCCATAGAATTCCCCATCACATTCAACTTACAATCAACTAGCTCTCGCACTAATTAAATCATTTGTTCGATTCTATAAATAGTTTCGAATTCTTATGCTTGGGGTGCGAAAATTAAATTAGAAGTGTGAAACGATTGCGGTGAGCACAAGAATAACAAATTAAAATTCGATAGAAAAATAAACAACGATTGGAAAGAGTTTAACGCTATAAATATAAAGTTATGAATAAGTTGAATTTATAAGTAAACTCAATACTTATTAACTAAATGAATCCAAAACGAAGAAAAGTGGCAGTAAACATAGCTTTAAGTGATACTAAAAATGGGAAATTTATTGCAAAAGATCAATCAGACAGCGAGACATTAACTATGCCATTTAATCGAGAGGAAATATGTTTACGTAAAAGATTTGCCAAAATCCGAAACAGCTATTTCAATTGAATACTGGGAAAAAAAATCTCTTAAAATGAATTTCAATTTAAAAACATTTCTAATTACTTTTACTTTTACCTATACTACTTTAATTACTTCTCAGTTAGTAATTAATTAACATTAAGTTTAATTTACAATATATTTCCCTCTCATTAAGATTAAAATCTAAGATAATTAAAAATGTCATGCAGATTATAATTTTAATAGCCCCATTAAGTGTTGGTGATGTGATTTTATGCAAACTTTTTCGTTTGGAACGTTAATGGACCTCCCATCCAAATGTCTGCACAAATTACCCAGAATTTTAAGAGTACGGTCTTGGTGGCGTATACGTAATAAAATTCGACTGTGGCGCCACATCGACTGGCCACGCATTTCCATTCTCGCATTTTCACATTTTCTCTGTGGGCGGCACATGAAAACTCTGATGATGTCAACCCCTGGGCTAGGAAAACCTTGGCTTGGGGGAGAGAGCCCGAAATGTCGAATGAAAACTGTGTCATCCCCCAGTTATTTTTGGTCGGCAAACAAAGTTTGTTTTTTTTTTGCTTGCCTGCCAAATATTTGACCGGTGACCCCATGAGAGGTCAAAGTTTGCTTACTGATGGCATTATTTTTTACCTATAAATATATCTTATATAAATGTATGTCTTTTTTTCGCAGCTGTAAATGAGCAGCATCATCAGCGGCAGCATTTGGAATGCTGGCATTGCAGCTCGGACACCATTGGATCGGAGGACTTCTGCGATGTGACTTTCCAGGAGGACAACATTCCTACGGATTTGATCAAGGAGAGGAACATCAATCTACTGAGGAGCTGCAACAGCACCATTCACTCCGATCACGAGCGGCCTGTGTGCCGCAAAACTGTGGAAGAGTGTGAGTTCCAAACCTTTCTTAAAAAAACTAGATTTTATAAATTAAAAACTCAATCTTCAAGATAGATAGATATATGTTTATGTGAAACTCCCAAGTAATATATTTATTTAATTTTCAGATAAGGGCAAGCTAATTACGAAGCGCTTCTGCTACTATACCAACAAATCAGATCCCGTGGAGCTGTGCAACATCACCAGTCCGGAGAAGAATGTGCGGCGGATATTCTGCGAGGATTGCCTCACCGATCGCTGCAACGGAGCTTATATGGGTGCCTCACTTATGGAGTTCGCCCTGCTCCTGCCATGTTGGCTTTAGTCCAACAGTTGGCCAACTAAGTGGCATTAGAGCCTCCACTTGGACGCATCTCTGAATTGTATTTTAGTTGGAACGTGATATTTTGCCCGGCCCCCTGAGAAAGGGGACTGAGCTGTTGCTGATTAACGATTTATGTTTAGTCCTCGGTTTAACTTAGGTTTAGTTCCGGGCCACTAGTGCCCCCACACTCATTAATCTTAAATTCAGACTTCTAAGTTGGTTTCCGATTTGCCCTAAAGCTCAAAGCCCTAAAAAGTAATCCCCTAAATTCCAATTAAAAAAAATCCAGTAGGGCATTAACTCAGCCCAAAGCACAGTAAATACTCACTAATAGTCTATATGTACAACATAATATTTTTATGTAAAGAACACACACATTCACCTATATGTAAAATGAATACAGTTGCTGGACAAACTCAAATCAAGGTACTTAAAGGCACTCGAACAGATGCACCGAATAAAGATTACACAACTGATTAAGGCTTATAATTTCTATTGAATTAAAGGTATTTTAGCAGCTCAATTATGGCATTCACGAGGCGTTGATTGGTGTCTTGATCCAGCCCGGAATAAAAGTCATCTAACTGGAAACTCTGCCAAAGCTTGGCCATATAGCCGTTAAACTCCACACTCTGTTTGCCAATGATTTTGTAGCGTTCATAGAGCATTAATTCGGCGTGTATCATTGTCAATACGACTCCCGATTACCCGAATATATAGCTGGAAAAACAGGGCAGCCAATTGCTGACGCTCTGTAAATTATAGATCTTACGCAGGACCTTCTGCAGGATCCTTTCCAGTTGTACTGGCTTGTAAAGGCAATGCAGTCTCTGCGAATGCCTCCCAATCGCCATCTGCCATTTGCCTTGGTCATGTTCCTCGGCCTCCAAGGCCTCTGGAATAGTGCCGTGGTATTTAAAACCTCCAAATGTTCCCGTATATTTTCCCTGATGAGATGAGCCTGCAGGTTGTGTTGCAAAGTCACATTCCTCGCCGGCTTACAAATCACATGTTGTAGTGTCTCCTGCAAGGCTTCGATTTTGCCCACATCCCTCGGATAGTCGACTTTCAGTTTTCCCCAAGTGGCTGCCACCAGAGACATCTGCTCGGAGACGCTGCCATTGAGATTCTCGATCAGATCCAACATTCGCCTATTGTCGTAGCTGACCACCTGAGTTCCCAGGGCGACAATTGCCGGTAAGAACAGCAGCGAAATTGTAACAATTTTACTTAGCATCTCGCGGGTTGAAATGGCACTGAATTATGGATTATTATTCCAGCAGTTGAATTATCAGCAATCTAAGCTTATCAGCAACGTCTGTACCACAAACACTCTCATGAAAATTGTACAGAAAAGCTATAGGCAATGCACAGTGTACATCTGTACGTCATCATTGAAATTTTATATTGATATTTATTTTTATTTAAAAAATTTGACCTTATCAGCAATTGGACAAAAGTTAAGGGTATATACGTCTTGGACTGGGGGATGTTTGATAACCATAACCATTATAATTTACGGTTGCCATCCTTTTAATTCCTTTTCTAAAATAGATTAGATATTATAGTTTCTTTTGAGTGCGGAATTATATTGCCTCGTGAATCACAATAATCCATCAAACCCCACAAGTAGTAAGCCACCAAATCGACATGGAAATGAAGGCTCTTTTAGGGTGTGTCCATCCCCTCTCCGAGTGTGTGCTTAGCCACTTGTCACACTAATCCGGACCGACACTCGGATAGCCATAGAAGTTGAATCCAATTAGGCGACCTACATGCGTGACAATGCAACCCTCACGATAGGATATCCTGTCGTTGTCGTTGCCATTGCCTTGCTCCTTGCTGGCCCCATCTTTAGACATCTCTGACGGACGGCCACCGAGCAGCTGGCCCCTTCTAATTAAATTTATGCAAATTATTTGACGTCCTTGTTGATTAGTGTCTCACATCCCTCTGCCTCATTAAGTTTCGATCGTGCTCAATGAGATAAGACAAAATCGAATCAAATTTGTCGGTCTCACATCCTCGTAAATTCGTTCTAAATTCGATGACATACTTTTGGGCTGCCAGAACTTGAGTAATAGATGGAAAAAAGGCACTCAATTTGAGTGCATTTCCAGGGGGGAACATATACTGCCTTCAAACGCTTTTTAGCAAGTAAATTCTGTCACTTAGAAATGATTTTTGTTGACATTGTAAACAACACTTTAGAGTCTCAGTGTTAATATATCTGTTACTGACTCACAGATGACATCTTCACTTCAAAGTGATATTCCTCTGTTTGAGTAACTTCCAGGTATTTTCTATTGCGGAGAAATGTGTACTAATAAAAAGTATTTTGATTATTTATAAATAATCAAAGAATGAAAAACATTGAATAATTTTAAAATTGAATAGGCAAAATATTTATATACTGTCAAGTATGCTTTAAGTTTTGAAATAACAGCTAAAACATTTGTCAGAGAACTTGTAAAATAAAATAATCATTCATCAATTTAAAACGTTATTCTACAATTGTAGTTTTTTATCTAACAAATACTAACTATCTATCTAATGAAAAAAACATGAAAGGGAGCTAACATCGGGAAGGCGAATTGTGTATACCCTGGTACTTTGCCATAGAATCATGGGTTTGACCTAAATTTATGTATTCTAAGGACATTAGTCGATATTTTTATATGCTAATTTTTTGGCTAAGCCAAAAAAGCAATATTAATCGGAAAGCTGTCTGTGCTAGTTTTACTTTTATCATGAATAGTTATATTAAGTAGGCTTTATATACTTGCGTATTGTTAAAGTTCACTTAAATTAAATAAGTATGAGGTCCATGCCAGAATGAATTAATTGGAAATTAACGCATAGCAACATAGATGTTCAGGACATAGGCCTGATACCTCACATAGGCCTGATCCTTATAATCATATACAGGTATATATTATGGTTAGACTTACCGCAGTAGAGTAGATGTATTGCATTGTTAATCACTATCACACCACTATCACTAACGATGTTAACGTGGGGATGCTGCAAACAGAATGAGGTCAGCGCTTTGGATGTGCCTGTATTTATAGTCTCAGAGCAAAGAGAACAGAGAAAGTGAGAGCGGGAGAGAAAGAGAGAGCTCTAGAGAAATGAAAGAAAGAGCTATCTCTTGAGAAACAGAGAGGGAGAGGAGAGTGAGACCTAGAGACATAGAGATAGAGAGAAGTGCAATCGATCATAACAAAGCCAAATATACATTGGTCCCATTTTAAAAATCTTTCCTGTTAATTTTGATATCTTCAACAAGGCTAGCAGATGTAATGATGATCTTCTGATATATATTATTTATAGATCGGAAATAACACCTTCACTGTATTGCAAGCTTCGAAATGAAATTATAATACCCTACAAGGGTATTTAAAAAACACAACTATTTTGTGTATCCCACAATACAAACTGCATGCATATGAAAAGCCCCATTAAATGATCAACTTGAACCGCAGTCCGAACAACACTTCAAAATAGACAAGCCCACTCTGTTAGAACCGGTTTTCTAACCCCAAAAACACAACAATAAATACAACAATTTATATATAAACCGATAACCTAAGCCTGCATCTACATCGAGCCACAATTTTCACTCAAAACCAACCAAGACGGGCAGCAGATTTTGAGTCTGAAACATTTTGAGTTTGTTTTTATGTTTTTTCGGGAATGGAGGCACTGCGGCGGCTGTTGCCTCAACTCGCAGTGCTCGAGGCATTCAGACGTGCACCAGACTTCGTTGACGGCGGTTCATATTCGTGCCTCTGAACTTAAGCAATCTTTAATATTCGAAAAGTTAATCTGTAAAAAACCAAGTGCTAATCAAGATGGTGTCCGCTCTAAATGCAGTTTGGCCGTGGCCGTTATGATCAGTCTGGCCTGTTCGGGTGCGTTGCATTAGAAAGTGTTTTCCGAATGGCAAAACGTTGTATTTTAAGGAGTTCAAGGATAAAGACATTTGAGATCATTATTTTAATTTTTCAATGTGATTATACCCCCTTAAATATAGGGATAAAGGACCTTCTTGATTTTGAAATACAAATTTTCGCGATACTTTTAGATCGGTTAGATTTTAAGGACATTTTTAAACAAAGTGAATAAGTTTCTGATACTTAATTTTCTAAATGACCTTCAGTCTTTTTCTACAGTCTAGTTGATCCTTACATATAATACAAAATATGGATGTTTTTTTAATTACTATTCTATTTTTGCTTATTTAATTTAAATTTTAAAGCAAAAGGATTAAAGTGTACCTTATATTAAAAAAAAAAGTATATTTAAAACTCAAAATTACTCACAAACTATACAAAACAAATCGATAATTTACTTAGAATAATTTAAATACTCATATAATATATTAAATAATATTCTGATTCTTTGAGCAGGGATTAAAATATACTCAACTAACGATAATCAAACTTTTAAGTTATACGTTGTTTCTTTACGAAAAAGAAAACTTAAAAGTATATGTGTTTTTATATTTTTAAATATTTTTTAAAATCAATAATACCGTTTTTTCCCCACAGCTTATGCCATCAAGTGCTATCAATGCGAATCTCTCACATCCCCAAAATGCGGTCTGAAATTCGAGGCTGATGACAATCTGCTGATCGATTGTTCCCGAATTGGACCCCCTCGCTACCTGCAGAACTTCTTCCCCCTACGGAACGCCACTGGATGTATGAAGAAGACCCTTGAGAGTGGTAAGACCTTAGAACCTAGTACACCTTTAAAAAAAATATACAGAAAGTGGGATAACAAAACAAAATTCCGATAACAATCCTTTTTTCTATTGAATTATATAGAAACTTGAAAAGCTGAAATATTTAGACCTTGGATAATGACATTTTCGTTAGCAATTATTTTACAAACAATATGACACTAAGACTATAAAAAATTCGCCTTTGGTTACCCTTTTATCCCTATACATATGTATATGTCAAAATCAGACCCTGCAAAAAACCAGACGACCCCTGAGATCATCGCAGGAAATGGGTTATGTATTCAAACTCTGATGTCATACGTGAATATTTTACTATCGTTTCTGTTTTTGTGATGTTACCTTTATTCCCCCTTTTTTCGACGTGATTTCTCATCACGTTTCTTTGCGACTTATTTTCGCGTAATTACATCAAAGTAGCAGCTTAATTCCGGTTGGTTAGAAAATAATAATAGCGGTGACGAAAGTGAGTTTGAATCCCACAATCTAATCTTTTCACTCGCACACAAAATGTACATATTTATTTAAATTTCCAAGACGTTGTGTCTTGATTATTTTCTTATAAATATTATGATCATTAAATTAAGCTTCACAGTTTTGAAATTAATTTATGGCAACAGATCAATTGACGGATTTGTTGTGAAAATGAATTTCAATTTCAAAGATGAGATCACTAAATACAGACAGCTGTAATTTGCCGCCTTTCGGGTTTTTGCTTTTTAACCGCTGGGTGGATCCAATTGTTATCCACTGTTTACCAGAGCAATTGGGTACAGTGGAGTCATACAAAATAAATAAAAAATAAATAAAGTAAACAATTAACAAGTGCCGGCTTAGGGAACAATCGGTTCATTTAGATATTGCCGCCAGCGAAAGCTGTTTGCCCAGTTGCTCATCTCCGTTTTCTTTATTTAATATTAATACTAATTTATATATTTTCTAATTTTAACAGTGGCTGGACACCCGCAGATCGTGAGGACCTGCTACTTTGGCGACATTAACAACGTCCAGGGTGGCTGCCAGTCGGATCCCTCGCTGCCCTTCGTCAAGCAGCTGGGCTGCGATGTGTGCACCAAGGACGAGTGCAATGGATCGTCATCCTTGGCCCCCGTGGCAGGAGCCATCCTGCTCTTCTTCGGCGTCGCCCGCCTGCTGGCATAGATCTTAACTAATTAGCTCGTAATACCCTATACTTCTTGTAGCATTTTCCATTTCCATTTACGACGCTCAAGGATAATTAGTTGGTTAAATTCTGTTTACATTTAAATTTGTAATAAAAAGAAGGATACAAGTTCATCCCAAGCAACATGCCAAAAAGAAATTGTGGTTTTTATTTGTAAAAAGGGATTTTAATTATTATAATAATTATATAGCAATTATGAATTATATTATGAGGGATAGAATATTGTGAAAAATTAGTCCTTTAATAGTTAGGTGTAGGAATATGTTAGCTTTGAGAATTTTGATTTTTATGGAGACAGAGATTAAATTTGCTTTTTAAACTTATTTGTTAGAGACAATTTACCTTAATAGTTTTAGTTTAGTTCGTTTAGTATTTAAAATATATATTTTCAATATGAATCATTTGGGTTATAACTTTAAATAAAACTATTTTGTTTAAATATTTCTAACACATTTTTCCTGGTTATTTGCAATTAGTTCTCTATTGATTTCCTTGTAAAAATAAGTAACTTTCCGTAAATTATTTATTTACGTTATTTGTAATTTCCTCCAACCCTTTGTAAGTCATCAATACCGCTGTGAGTAATGTTTCCAGTAATATTTCTTAATCTAGAAATTCATGACAGCCCTTGAAAAATATTTAGAGAAAACAGCTCACTTGAAGTTCTAAAATAATAATAAAATTTCAAACGCAGGTTCAATGACTCATCTGAGTATCTACAAAAATTATTTACCTGGTGAGTGTAAAGTGTGAAACACCTGGGAACTAATTAGTATGTGCACCCACATGGTCAACCGAAAATTGTGTATGTTCAGACAAAAGGTCTCCTCGAATGCCCCTCTTCCGAGGCGGGAAGTGGGATTTATGTTTCTGTCTGCCTGCTTAATCACATATAATTGAGTTCAATTTCATCTGCAAGTCAAGTTCCAGTTCCAGCATTTCTTCAACCCTTCGGATTCGAGTTTACAAAGTGTTAAATGCAGTTCATTAGGGTTCAAGAAACTCGGGGTCCCCAGATCCGATCTGAGGAAACTTGGGATGGTGTATAGCATCCGGGGGGAATACCACGCCCCCGCTTCCCTGTCCGTCTGCGCCGGCTCAATTAACCCAAACTCATTTAGCATAATTTGAAAAATTACTTAATTGAAGAAAATAGAAATTTGTGGGAAAGCCACTTAACCGAGTGTCCGTCCATGTGCTGGCGAGATTAGGAAAGCCAATACTCTCAGGCTTCAATAAATAAAACAATTCAAACTGGGCGTTGAAATGCATGCTGACCATATATGGGGGAGCTAATTGAATGTACAAATTCAAGGGGGAAATAATTAAGAAATCATTAAGAAATATAGAATTTGAAAATGTTAATGAGCCCAACTTGGGTCTTCTTCATAATCAATGGGTTGCGTCTATAGGATTAGCTTAAGTTTAATTTAGTTATATGAATTTAAGCTACATTTAATACTTATCTTATTTTAGCTTTATATAATTTTAAGGCTCCTATAAATTGTAGTATAATTTTATACTATAGTATAATACAGAATCTTAAAAAGTTAATGAGCTTAACTCGGTTCTTATTTATTTTTGTTGACTCCTATATATTTTATTATACTAAAGCATGTTTTCAGTACCTTAATCTATAGATATTAAATACCAATGAAATAATAGTAGGAACTAAGCATCTTTGCTTAACATAGTAGATAGGGGACCCTTCAAAGGGCCCCCATTTTGTCGAACGATCATCGTAGGGTGACAGCAGCCAGGTGTTGTTAATTGTTGTGATTTGCACAACAATGAGAGTGGAGAAATAAATATATACGAGTTTGTTTTCAAACTGCGCATTAGAATCGCCAAAGGCAAAAAGGCGAAACACAATTGCCAACTGGTTTCAAGAGACACTCAGAACGCCAAACCAAAAACGATGACGTCGTCGGCAATTTCACATACCAAAAAATACTCAAGCATTAAAAAAAGGGCTTACATAATTCTCCAAAAAAGCAAATTATTATTAAAATAAAGCAACGTATTTCTTTGGGTGCGACGGAATTGTCTTCTTCGGAGTGCCGAGAGCGAAATGAAAATGAATAACGAGCCAAAAACGGCTGACATCACCCCAAACAAGTCGGCAAAAATTCTTGATATTTATGTACAAAAATACGTGTTGTGTGTTTATGTGTGTCAAACGATGGGAGCAAAAATAAGTAAATAAAAACCAAAACATTGCGCCAGCTTCTATACAAATTCGAATAAAAACAGAATTCAAACACGCAACGTACATACGAGAAACCGCTCCAAGTGAGCTGTCACAAATGAGCTTGAGCTTTACTCTGAGTGCAATTTCGAGTGGAAAATCCGAGTGAGATACTGTGGACAATGGGCTGGACGCTTTCTGGCATTTTTTCAGAACCGGCTGCCCACAAACGCTCGCCAGTCGCCGTGCCATCAAGGTCTATCCGAAATAGTATTCTCGAAAAATTTCTCAAACACAACCCAAGTGAAAATGGTGTCGAATGTGAAGCTTTTCCTGGGCCTCACCGTCCTGGCCACTCTGGCCTGCACGGGTATGCATTTTCCCGGAAATCCCTAATTTCCAGAGTCAACAGATCCTCGCTTTTTTAGGGTATGCCATCAAGTGCTATCAATGTGATTCGATCACGAACCCGAAGTGCGGCGAGAAGTTCGAGAAGGATAGTAGTCATCTGCTGGATTGCTCCAAGATTGCCCCACCACGATTCCTGCAGAACTTCTTCCCCGTTCGCAATGCCACCGGTTGCCTGAAGAAGGTCTTGGACACGGGTAAGTCCGAGATCAAGATCGTGATCTCATCGCCATAAATCGATTGCCCACGCATATCCAAAAGAATGCTCAGTTGACCAATTAGCTTGATTAATTTTAATCAGACACAAGACGGAGGCTTAAAATCATAATAATAGTATGATTTTAGGGCAAGCAAAGGGTTCAACAGTTTTCCAAAAATAACTTTCACTAAGTCTTTCCGGCTTACATTTTCACTTTTGAAGTTGAAGAAAAGGTTTTTATAAGATGAAAGAAAAAGGTAGTCTGTTTATAAACCCCAAGTGAAGTTTTAAAGAAAATTTTAAGAAAAAAGTACTCAAATGTTATTGAAGATAATTTTAAGTTAATATATAAAGCAGTTTTTACAACATTTATATATTTTTCTAGTTAATAAATTTTTAAACAGGCAACAAATCAATAGAATATTAATATATAAAAATGAATTACATTTAAAAATATTACAATACATTAAATACTTCATTAGCTTTTTTAAATTTCTTTGTAAAATTAAACAAAAATTGAAATGTTTTAAAAACAAACCAAATATCAAGGAGAACATCAAAGCATAGCACATTACCGTGAAGTATATTTAGAAATGCTCAAAATCCATGAGAAATATTGGATGCCTTCCAGTTTGATATATATTATATGTATTACCTACAGATTATAGGCATCACATGTGCCTGATCTATAAAGGAAGTGAATTGTTTTGTAAAGTCAGAGATAAGGTTAATCTGTGTGTTTACCATGTCTTCAAAGTCCGTGTCAGTCTTTTATTACAATCGCAATCTCTCTGTCCAAGTACCACTCTCCCTTTTTCATTTACAATAAATTCATGATAAATATAGTATATGAACGGAGGCAACCCAGGGGAGATTAAGCCCTGTCCCTTAAGCAATCCGTTCGCTCCATTATAAATTCATCGGGGACAATGGATATTAATATCAGAAGTATTTGAGTTATTTGTTTAACATTTTCAGGCAATTTGTTTGATTGCCCAGCGAGTGTCGTGCATAAATATTCTCTAGGTGTACTATAGTTCTCTTTGTTTTCTGAATAATTAATGCCAGCAGTTTCTCATAGATTTCTCTGGGGGATCGGAGGAGTATTTATGCTCGGTGACCGCAAAACATCGCCACCGACAATTGTTTCTTAATTGCATTAACATTCGAGATACGCCTCGCTTCTCATTGCGAAAAACTCAGAACTCAGACAGGGGCGACCAAAGGAGTGGCAGCTGTAATTAACTCACTGACAAATAGTCATCCCACAAATTAGTCACAGCTATTTTGACCTGTACTTGAACGATGTTCCAGATATTAATTATATGAGGAAGCCGAGAAAAAGTGCTCTATATGGGCATGAATAATTATTAATTATGAAAGTGTGGGTGGAACAAATTCGAAAAGAAATGGGTCTTAACAAGCGAAAATTTCTGTGACTTTTATTAAAAATAATAATTTAGTAGTACTGGTATATAGTTTTATTGAGTTTTTCTGAGAAGCTCAATTAATTGAGTTTGATCAATAGAATATATTATTTTCATTGTTGTATGCAAGTCTATAAAAATAGAACTATGATTTCAGTATGATTTCACTATTGAAGAGCTAGCTATTTGAATTTTCCTTACCAATTATTATTACTTGTTTAAAGCTTGACTAATTTTATTTAAATCGTTTTCTGTCATTGCTAGAACAGATAATTAGGCTTTCATTTAATTGCCTAATCAATGATCAAGGTCATTTAGAAATAATTAAAGGGAAAAACACAAATAAATATTACAACAGAATGTACTAGAATTGAGGTGTATAAATTAACGAACAGTGAAATATATTTAAAAAATAAAGTAAAATGTTATTAGTAAGAATAAAATACAGAATAAAGTATCAAAGTTTAAATTTACAATTAGCTTTGTATTTATATTTGTTTGTTTGTAAGTTTGTAACTTTAATTGAATAACTAATCTGTTGACCTCGGATGTAATAAGTGATTAATATTTAATAGCTGCAACATAGTTGTTTATATTTTTTAAGCAATTTCAATACTCCTATATTATTATATCCTATAGTACTTTATTTAACTAAAAATACACATTTCTTAATCGTTTTTTTTCCTATCCTTCCAGTGCCCAAGCATCCTCAGATCATTAGAAGCTGCTACTTTGGAGATGTTAGCAACACTCAGGTCGGTTGCCAAGACGATCCCTCGCTGTCCTTTGCCAAGCAGCTGGGCTGTGATGTTTGCACCAAGGACGAGTGCAACGGATCCACCTCCTTGGCCCCCGTGGCAGGAGCCATCCTGCTTTTCTTCGGCGTTGCCCGTCTGTTGGCCTAAGGGATTAATTCCTGATATGACATTGTAAACCTTCGTCAACATCGTAGTTGTTATGAGCTTTCTGCTTTAAAGGATCTATCTGCTTTAGTCACTTTTGAATCTCTGTTAATTGTTGTACACCACCTGACGTGTCTTTTTTTCGCAATAAAATCATTTTATTTATTTGAAATAGCCATTTTCTTGATCGACCACTTATGGGGGGATTTTATGAGTGTTCATTTAATTAACTGTTGGCTTATTTACGACACTCCTATAGCATTGTCAGCGGAAAGTGAGAATCCTGTGCGTGCCTGGCCACACTTATCGAATTTTCCTCACCCACAAGAAATCTATTTTCCAATGCTCAATCTGCGGCGAGTTCTCTTTTTCGTTGCTTAACTTTTGGAACTCTCTTGGCCTGACGATAATAGAACTGGCAGAAAAACCTGAAGAGTTCTCTCTGTGATTTTCCTCGCACACTCCTAGTTTTCCACCTCCCACGAGACCCCCTTTAGAAGCACTCCTGTTCCGGGGTAATGGGAAAAAACCAAAGAAGAAAAAAAGAGGAAAACACAAAATGTTCATTAAAATTAGACAAATTAAAACGCTGAGCGATGACGCCAGGCGAAATGGCCATAAAGTTTTCCCTCACCGCATCGCACAACAAAAAAATATATAAAAGAGAGCCGAACGGAAAAAGAGAAAAGTGCCAAGGAGTTGAATTTGGAAAATGCTTTTGGCATTCTTTTAGTTCGATTTCGTTTGCGGCCGTCGACTGACTGACGGTTCCAACACTATAGCCGGAAAAACCGCCACAAACAATTCCGAAACCAAAAAGAAAAATTGAAAATAACTCGGGGAAAATTTTAACCGCAAAACTGTGTGAATCGAAAAGACGCGTGTTTACATTTAATTTCGTTACGTGCTTGGGCCAAACAAAATATGTAAAAGCCATTTGAAAGGAAATAAAATATACATTTATTTATTTTGAGGATATATATTTGAATTTTCGGATATACATACGTATGCGAGCGTGTGTTTTATATTTAAATAGCGTGTAGATCGCTTCAATTGACGTGCCGAGTGACGACGATGAGCAGGGTTATATAGAACCTCTTGGCTTTAATTATTTTATAAAACCATCAAATTAAGAAAATCCCAAATCCGCATAAACTTTGGTAGCTGGAAAAACAAATTTCACAATTTTCAAAACAATGCGGCAGTATTTCCTTTTGTTTGGCGCGCTCATCTCGCTGCTGGCCTCAGGTTTGTTTTTGTTCTGTTTGTATTTGGATTTTGGTATTTTGTTTTGTGTTTTGTTTTTTTTTTTTGTTTTTTTGACATTTTCTGCTGTCTGCTGTCCCCTGTCTGATCTCATTTCTGCCATAAATAAGAGGCATCTCTGATCTTTTCATCTCCCCAATGCCATTAGCTTACGGCATCAAGTGCTACGCCTGCGAATCCGTCTACGAGGCAAGTTGTGGCGAGGACTTCGAAGTGGAGAATCATTTCAAATACGACTGTGCCTTCATAGCCCCACCGCGGTTCCTGGAGAACGATCTGAGTAGTCCGAATGCCACGGCTTGTTTAAAGCGGGTCTTTAAGGGTGAGTTTATGCAGGGACTTTAATTATCATTTACAACAAAAAATATATCCGAATAATAAGTTGAAATTTACTATTATTAAACTTTTCAATAGACTAAAAATTAAGCTGTATTTGATTTTAATAGTCTGCATACTTATCATAAAATTAAACGTGTATCAATTGTTGTATTCCTCCAAACATGTCTAATTCGACTCAGCTTTCGATGCTGATTAAGAATATATATGGCTTATAGGGTCGGAAATGACACTTTCAATGTGGGAAAGCTGACGGAAAAGTCAGGGTCAGTTTTCAAAGTAAGAGAATTTATATTTAAGTTAGGCTTTTAATGTTAAAAGTATAACTATAAATTAAAACTAATTAATGGGGTCCATGGCAATTTGGAAAACAATATACAATCTGTGTATGTATGTATGTATGTATGTATATATAGTATAATTATCATGACTGACTTACCAGAGTAGAGGGCAACGGTTCCTTACATTTTGATGACGTGGCTTTAGATGGTATCATCAGCTTCTTCCTGGTTATACAGATATTTTGCATTGGTCACGTCGAAGCCAAATCACTATCAGCATACTATCACATCCACTATCACTTCCACTATCACCTTCATATCACTAGAGATGTTAACAGCAGCTTCCCCACGGACAGAATGAGGCCGGCCCGACGGGAGTACCTGTATTTATAGTCGCCGGGTAGCGAGAGCAGAGAAAGTGAGAGCGAGAGAGTAAGAGTTATCTCTAGAGAGGAGCATAGACATATAGAGGGTAAGTGGTTCCCCTAGAGATACACAAAGAGAGTGAGAGGGAGAGACCCAGGGGAATAGAAATCAGAGGCTTAGAGATAGAGAGGGAGCGACGTGCAATCGATCATAACAAACAATTAATGTTTGTGTTACCTTTAATTAAGAGACCAGTATTTAAATATTTAATATGTAAATAATTAAATATGTTAGCAATTTTGACAATTTCGAAGATGTAATTAACTACCATAACTAACCAAAAAATTCATTAATTTAATTCTGAAAACTTTTCTGTGTTAGTTTTGCTAAAGCTAACAAACCTTATTACTCAGTTTAATACTATAAAAATGTAATTTTTATTATCTTTTGACAATTTTAACGATGTAACCCCTAGATCAACAATATATATGAAATATGGGACCGGAAATGAGTTCTTAACTGCCTTTCACACTTCTGACTAAATTTTAAACCCTGAAAACATGAATTCTTCAGACAACTTTTACATCCTTGGGGAGACATCTTTCTTAGCAATCCGTAGCTACTTAATCCCTACTGATTTGTGACGCACATCATAAAAAAATAAATTTAATAATTAGCAAAACAAACTATGCATTATATTCCTGCGTATACAAAACAGCTGTGGCCTTATTTCAAAAATATTCAAATATTCCGTAGATTTCGTTGATATCATTCTTTCAGATACATATAAAACCATTAAATTCGAGCGTATAAAATATAGGTTTATTTATATTACAACTGCCCGAAAGTAGACTAACACAATATTTATTTTCCGTAGAAAATGGCGTACGGAAGATCGTCAGAGGATGCTATTTCGGTGAGACAAATGCCACCGATGTGGATGCCGGATGGATCCCACACTGATCGCCGTCCAGAATGCCACCTGTCATGTGTGCGACAATGAGAACTATTGCAATGCAGCGGATGCACTACATCGGAAAATCTTCTCCAGTATTCTATTGTTTCTCTTGGCTACACAACTCCTCTGATGAGATGGATCAATGAAAATGCAAAATAAAAGGCAAACCACACCAGACACACACACACCCAAAGCTTAGTTCAATTTAGATAGATTTTCTAGAATTTCCCAAGCAACATGTAGTAGCACCACCAGCCATTTAGGACTAATTAGACGCGAATCTGCTCCACTGTGTGCTAATGGTCAATCAGGGGGCAAACAGGGCGTATGAGCAATATTAGCGGACATGAGCCGAAAAGCTGGCAAACAAAACACAAACGCGATCCGAATAGAAAACTAATAAAAACTAATTTTACACAGAATGCCAAATTGTTTATTTGTACGAAATGCCACTAATGAACTTTTGCCTGAATGCCTGCTGACATCGTTTGAAATAAATGGCTCCCAACTATGGCTGTGGCTATGGCTATGGATATATGGATATAGGGAAGGGCAAGCCTGTCTATATATCTTGGAAACACCTACACCTCCTCCTTGCTTACCACAATGTCAACACACAGGGTAGGTAGTTTAGTCAGGAAAATGCCAATGCGAACCAAGACGAACGCTCACGAAGGGACATGGAAAATCTTTGCGTTGTTTTGAAAATCAAATTCACATTCTGAATGTGATTGTTCGTTCGCACAGTTCAGTTCAGTTCAGTTTAGTTTCGCTTCAGTCTCAGTTCTGTTCAGTTTCGGTTCAGTCGCGTGTGTGCAACGCTTCGAGTCGGTGGTCGGATCGTGGCTATATAGCTCTGGCCCCTCTCTATATCTCGATCATGTGATTACAATCGGTTCGTTAGCTGTGCGAAGACAACATCTGTGTGCTCCCGTAAACGTATCTCTATAGCGATTGACTCAGCATCAGTATACCCCATCGGACAGTGGGATCAACTGTTTTCGGGGGCGTGCGATGGCGACTATGGTGATTGCGATGCTGCCCCTACGTGCTCTTGTCTGTCTCTATTTGCTCGTCACGCTGGCCAGCTCAGGTGAGATTCCACATTCGCCTCCACGAACTCATCTCTCATTCGCACAAAAAATAAAGAACGTTTTTTTATGATTATTAAAGTATTCTTTTTTAAAGCTACTAACAAACTACAGCTTCTTAGTTTGTATTCTTATCAGTTGACTAAAAACTGGTCTTTTAACTAAACTTGTTTCCGCATGGCTTTGCAATAAGTCCAAGTGTTAAATATATTCTTTTGTTTTGCTTGAAATCGGCTAAAAGTTGTATATATTATGATTTAGACTTTCTAGCGGCATACATTTAGAAAATTAATTCTTGAAAATAAAAACTTATAACGAACGAAATGAATTAATCAAATTGCTTGCAACATACATTTTGCTTATTTGTTAATTTTGATTTAAAACTCTAAAAATATGTGTATTTTTCATCAGACATTATACAAAAATTAACTCATGAATAAAATATGTATATAAACCATTGTTTATTATGATTTATTTTTTTCTGTGCTCTCTGGTTGACACACATATTTACGCATGTCGTCATCACCCAGCGCGGGCCATTACCTGCTACGAATGCGATTCCGTCAATAATCCCGGGTGTGGGGAGCAATTCGCTAGCGATGACATAGCCACAACGGACTGCGAAGTGGTGGCGGACTTGCGGTCCCCAGGAACGGAGCCCACCTGCCTCACCAAGTACCATGAGGGGGGTGAGTATATAAACCATAAAATAGGCTATAAAACTCACACAATTCCTATATCCTTGTGTAGGTCCTGGGAATCACGTTTCGTGCGTCGTTCCTGCTACTATGGTGACTCCTCGCCGGCTGGGATGAATTGTGACGAACAGCCGGATCCCGTGGTGCCGTTCCTGACCTTCCTGGGATGTACACTATGCAACACAGATCTGTGCAATGCAGCACCAAGGGGCATCTCTGTTCCTCTGTCCTTATATCAGCTCTTGCCACATTTGGTTTGCTTGATTACTTGTCAACTAACGAACAAAGAATACTCTCACTTCATTTCGATGTATCCTATTACCCGATATAAACTTTAAAGTATTGAAAAACAGAAAACTCATGAATCCTATATACAAAACTAACCACTTTAAGGACTTGTTAGAGACGTTATTTATATTTTTTTTTAATTTTCATTTTATTTGATTTTGTTTCCGTTGGTTTTTTATACATCCACTAAAATGATTTAACATACATATATCTTTATAATAATAATATAATTATTCTTGTTTGATTTTAATATAATTTATTTACTGAATAAATTTTCTCGTCTCCTATTATTTATCTGCCTGTGTGTCTATGTCGGTGTGTGTGTGTATTGTAATTAGAATTTATGAATTACAAAATATGCATAAATTAAATAAAATAAAAATAACACACACTGTTGCTGTTTCACTTAGCAGTTAATCATACTCAATATATATACTTGTTGTTGTTGATCTTCAGAAACACATTTCGATTTTTACATATATTTCCAGTTGCTTGTGTAAATTATTGTATGTGGGATATATCATCTTAGCTGCGGATTATATTCATGTCACTTGCTGGGCTACACATAAATAACATTCAAATATAAATATATATGGATATTTTGTATCAAGATATCGGTGTTTAAACTACACATTGAGAACAATTCAGATAGAAAACAATTTATGTACAAAAGATATTACTTTTTCTCAACAGTTTTTTTTTTGTTTTGTTTGTTTTTTGCTTTACCAAATACTGTCTATGTTGGCCAGTGCCCCGAGGGAGTCTCTCCTCAAAAACACAATCCTGTCTCTCTCCCAGCAGCACTTTCCGACAACTTAAGCTCTATCAACAATTATTCATATTATCAATTCAATCAGCGTGTACGAATTAGTCAACCAAAAATACAGTAAAACTTATTATTCTCTTACGATTCATCATAAATCACACACTCTGAAACAAATAACAAACAGATTTGCTTTTACTCAATTATTTTCGCTTTGCCTTGGCTTTTTTTATATGGATCAACTTTTGTTATTGGGGTTCGATTATTTCGTATGCCATATACTATATATTTATATATATATAATGCTGCACATATACATTGAATCATAGTAACAACACAGAGAGTTTTGTTTAAAACCTAAAGGCTATTATTTATCATATTTAGTTTGCGTTCCACTGCTCTCTCACGGCCACAGATTGCAGGTGTAACATTTATAATAATTTCAGGGATTTGTTTGATCTTCGGGTGCGGGATTTTGTGGAGTACCAGCTCCGCAATTATGTTGTGGAGTGCTCTTTCCTGCAATCTGTGCCGGCGGCTCCTTCTCCTAAAATTTTCGTTGTGGTTCTTTGAATTCCATTAACAATTCGCTTGAGTAGTGCAACGATCTCAATAAACTATCCGAATCTGCAGTCACTCAAAGGCCAAGTGGGGATGTGGTGGAGATGAAGCGGAATGAACGGAAACACGCCATGTTCTTGCTTTTTCATTTAAACATAAAAATTGACTAGAAAAGAGGTGCAAAAATTTTTTGTTGTGGAGGTGTGAGTGAGCAAAAAAGAAAATTTCGTTGGAATGGAATCTTAAGATATTTATATTGATTGTTCTCCCGTTTTTGTTTGTTGTTTATGTAGCCTTCAACTTGTAATACATTTCATCATTCGTTTTTCGTTTTGAGATCAATTGCACATGGGGGGTGAGGGCGCTCATTTCCCACTTTCCCCACATTTCCTAACTCGGCACTTTGCAAAGTGACTACAAACTGGATAGTTATTGTTTGTATCATTTTGTGGGCTATAAACTATATAGTACATATATCTGTAGTATCTTCTGAGCATATATCATGGTCGGCAACAGCACTAAACTAATCGAAAGATGTTTGGTTTTTTGCTTTATCTCTATATATATTTTGTTTTGCGACCAACTGATTGGGAGACAACTTTTGAAACATTCCAGTTTTTGTTTTGTTTTGTTTTCAATCCAATTTACACAAGTTACACTTTCTTCTATACACATAGCAATAATAATAATATTAATAACATTAATAACGAATTCAGTCAAGTCAGTAAATTTGGTTTACAGAAAGAAAAAATACATACATATAGTTTTAAACTAAATGAAATATTACAACGCTAATAAACAATAATAATAATAATAATAATGAATTTTGCAGCCCAAAAGTTTTCTGGTGTTTGTTGTGTTTTCTGCTTTCGTTTTTTTCTTTAAGGAATATTTTGTTTTTCTTTGCTGCTTTAGAAATACATGATTTACATTTAGATATACACTTTTATAATATAATTCATTATGCATATATGCTTGTATAGTATATATATATATGTATATGTAAAGGGGTTATATAACAACTAGTGTATTGTAATTTCAAAGCTTTGCGTTTTGAAACATATGAACTCACAGAGTATTTCCATTATATAATATATAATTTTTGTTTTCCATTTTTGTTTTGTTTTCTGTTTTTTTTTTCATTAACATTTAACATTTAACAAGCTTGCTGCTTGGCCACACTTTCGATACATATATTTATAAATAAGCTTTTATAAATGTTTACACATTTTCTCATCTCGGTTTATATCATCCTCGCATCCGCCCATTGAGGCGGAAACGAAAGCAATCTGCAGGTTCTTGAGTTGGGTATATATATAGGAAACGCGGGGGGAAGGTCGAACAATTTGGCGCTTGGCTGAGCGAGCACTTGATCATCGGCGGGCAATATCTCGGTCAGACTGAAAAAGGAGTTTTAGATGCCCACAAAGCCATAGACCTCCAGTACACGGATCTCGAAATCTCCCGACGGACACAGGGGCGGATTATTGAAGGTCTTGCAGCTGTCCGTCTTGCCAAATCTTATATTCTCATCCATCCAGATGGCCTGACCCTCGCTAAAAATAATAATTGATAAACAATTAAACCAATAAGTACGTATATAGGGTACAATCTTTTAAACATACCCGCCACCAATGGTGATCATCTTGGAGTCGGCCGCCATAAACAGCTCGGAACTGTGGCCCAGATCCTTGTCGCCCTCAATGCCCACCCAGGGATATTTGGCTCGCTCCGGATACAAAGAGAACAAAAATGTTTCGCCGGTGCCAAAGTAGGCCTGTCGCTGGCCCTTGTCATCTTTGACATTCCTTTCAAACCAGCGCGAGGAGCAATAGGCGCCAAATACCTAAAAAATAAGATAAATATTAATTAATTGGATATGGGACATGGTTCTCATTACACTCACCTCATTATTGCACGTCTTGATCATGAGCAGCGTGGGCTCATGCTGCTCCACCCGGACGTAGAAGGTGGTCAGGGAGCAGCCATGCTCCTCCGTGGTATACAGCAGCACCGGTTGGTACATTGTTATCCTCACGGGCAGCCAGGACCACAGCGTGAATAGCTAATGGAAAGAGCGTACAAGAAGCATTATTAACAACTGATATTAAACAATATTAGAGGCATTAACTTGGCTACAACTACGAGTAACGTATTTGAAAAAAGGGGTAGCAATTAGCCAAATGACAGAACAAAATACATAAGTTGGCATTGGGTAGAGAGTAGAGTGAAAAGAACATGAGCTAAAAGGGTCAACAAGTCAAAAAGGTAAACAACTAAAAGCCAGGGTTAATAAACAAATACAACACAACGCTCGATGATGACTAAAAAACTACAACAAAAAAACAAAAGTAAACTACGGCACAGTTCAGGTCAAACTGTAGGCAGCAGCAGTAGCAGCGGCGCAGGCGCGACAGCAGCAATGCTTGTTAAACTGGCTGTCAAACTGTAAGCGGTTTTTTATGAATTTTTTGATTCTCTGCCAAATGAATTCTTCACAGATGAACTATCGGGAAAATAACTAACATTAAATGACAACTGCAGGACGGGAGACACAGGAGGACTTTGCCTACAATGGCATACGAATGGAAAAACAGATTGAAATTTTGAATGAGGGAAAAGGAATTTCATTCGCTTTCTTCTATGAAACAAATGTAATGGATGGATGGGATATATAATGACAAATGGAATATTTATGGGATTAAAAAACAGGTTGTTTTTGGAGGGTTTGTCAATATGCAATGCAATGCTTACAAATTGTCTATCCGTCCAGGTTTTTATGAAATTCTTTGTGCCCGGCAAACCAAAATGCTATGAAAAGATATATAGATGTGATATATAGCAAAACAAATTATATGCAATAATGGCGATGAGAGTTGAGGGGGACACAAATGAGAACGATCTCCTATATATATTCTTATGCCCTCCTCTTGACCTATTTTAAAGAAACAATATATATACGATGAATATAAAATAAACTGACTGGCAACTCATAAAAGGTAAAAATCAATTAGAAACTAAGAATCGAAATCAATTCTGTTTGAATTTCTAGCAATTCATGCAGTTTTTGTGGCTTGAATGGAATGTGAGCCAAAAGCATTGATAAATATTTGGGATATAGAATGTATGTATATATTTATAATACGATTTTAAAGTGTGTTCTCAGTTGGTGTCGAATATTGAAGTGGAGTTTGTTTTTTGATTTTGACTTTGACTTTTCACTTACATCTTCGTTCTTACAAGCTTGACTTTTCAGATTGTGTATGGGATAAACGCCCATCGCGATGGCTCTATGACCGGGCGACTTTTCGCCCTATATATATATATTTATAATATATATATTTATGATTTATACATATAATATGATGTTGATGGATGGAATATTTAACAGTTATGGCACCCAATATGAACCCGCGGATATGCATTTTTCATCGATGTATCGAAAATATATGTTTACATTGATCAAGCGTACGCAAATTTATATTGATTTTGTTCGTTTTGCAATTATTTATTATTTGGTATGGTTTATTGTTAATATTCATTCATTCGTTGCCAAGGCAGCAAAAAAAGGTACAAGAAAAATAGAAAATAACATTTTATTTATAGATATATGTTGATTTTTCATATAAGAGGAGCAATAATTGCACTTTTCAGGATTAATTTTTGGTTTGGTTTCTGTTTTGTTTATGTAAGTATTTTTTGTATGTGAGTATATATTTGGCCTTTTATTACAACGGAAAAGCAAAAGAAATGAATATTAAAAGAAGCTGTATTATATTGTGTGGTTATATTTATAAATGTGGTTATTGTGTTGAGGCTGTCTTTCGCTTTGATTGACAAGTAACGAGGAACAATAAGAAATTCAGCAAGAAGTTAGATCATTCAGCGAAACAAAAGAAAAAACATAAACACAACGCAAAAGTCAAGTGGCAGCAGAACGAACGAACACAAAATCGAGTCGAATCAGGGGAATATTTGGGAATTAACTGAATTTCTCGAATTATCGAACTTTATTTCAGTTATTTCCAAAGCTATATACTACACACACAATCAGTGTTTTTGAATTATAATTAATAATTTCCCTAATTTATCATGCGATACATTCATTCAAGCGCTCTTTTCTTGCCCGCAAAACAAACTCTCAATCGACTCGAGGGAGAAAGTTAATAAATTTCAAAAGGAAAACCAAGAACATAACAAGCAGAATCAATCGAACATCAGCAGCATTATCACAGTATTGTCTTTAGATAATAATTTTTGATTGTATAATTCTTTTTCTAGCCTCATACCAAATTGCGACAGCTCTCGGAGTGCAGCTTCTGGTTTTTTTGGTTTTGATATTTGTTTTTTATTTGGGTGCGTTGTTTTGTTGTTTCAAAAGTTGTCGAAGAGAAGTTGTTGTGAGAGAGGAACATAAACAGAAAACGAATAAAAATAAATCAGAGTTACCATTAGACGAGGTGTTTCATTGTTTGTTTTAAGTGCTGTGCTGTGCTGTGTAAATTGAACGAACGGAATATGCCTAACTCGGTTTCTGTTTGCTTTTTTGTATATTCAAAAATCTCTGTATTATGTATTATGTTTATTCAGTGTGATGGTGGTGTTGGGGTTTAGGGTGTGTGTCGAAAAATGGGGGTTTGCATACCTCTCGGATGGTCAGGGTGTGCGACATCATCTGAATGTTGACCTGCGACTGACTAGTGGGCAGATTATCACTTGAACGCGATTTGATTAATTGCTTCGAACCGCTGGTGAGCACGGAACGGCTTTTTAGTAGCATTTCAGTCTTGATAAATATTCTAGAAATATACTGGGTACTGTGAAAGCAAAATATAATCAGAATTAGTTAGGTTTCTCAACTCTTAGCTTAAGAATAGCTCACCTCAGTCCCCTAATACTAAAGGCGGCATGGAGCAACTTCGCCGGCGACACTGGTATCTTCTTGCAGAACTTAATCAACGCATTGCCAATGTCATTTTTAATATTATCCGGACTCCATTCGTTGTTCGACTGACACTCCTTGTGAAACAGATTGAGTATGACGAGGGCCACGCGATACAGGACCTTGATGCCCTCGTGGAAATAGCAGTCCATGATCCGTACCAGATGCTGGAAGGGAAGACCGGCTAGAATCCACCAGCACCAGTCCATGAAGACACGCTCCAGCTTCAGGCCCGGGCAAATACGTTGGAAATACGAAGTTGCACTTTTCTGCAGGGAAAAGAAACATTTCATTTTGTTAATTAATAAATGAAATGATTGATGGGGCATGATAGACTACTCACCGTGTGCTTTTTGGCTATTGCATCACCGTCTTCCAGGTGACCTCGTGCTGTAGTTTGGTTTGATTGATGAATACCTTCTCCTTGCTGCCCACCAGACCGGCCAGGCACACATACGCCTCCTCCTCTGCAAAAGTTAAAAGATAAATTAAATATTAGTTCCAAAACTGACTGATAAATAGTTAAATGTTCTTATCCCCTTCTTTTGTTTATTTACTGCTCATTAGATATAATCAAATATCCCACACGTCGTATACGTAATATTTGATATTTAATACGCCCCGTTGCCCAGTTGTTGTAAGTGTAAGATCGTATGGCAGTCAGTTTTTCCAACAATTATCTATTTAATAACAGGCCTAACCTTAGCCACAATTTATGCAGTCCCCCGCAAACCCATATCCGCTACTAATTTAACTTTAGAACTATGGAACTATGGAACTGAATTAGCAACTAGCACTAGCATCTCGATGGCATTTGTGGTGGAAACAAGTGGTGGCATTACCGCAATGACGCAGCGCAAATTGAATCTAGAATGCGTTGAGAATCAGTCGGTCGTTGGTTTTATAATGCACTTTGACCAGCGTCATCGCCTTTGCTATTTTCCACATGCCATTTCCCCCCAGCCCCTGCCACATCCCTCTTCAATTTTCCATAATTAGCTGGCACAATTTTATCAACGAGCTTGCGAGATGTGCGTTCGTTTTGATTATTTGATTTTGAAATTAGATCAAATTATGCAATGTCGTAGATACACTCAAAGGAAAAATGTAGAAGATATATATTCTAGTTAAATAAAGATAGGAAATCATATAATTAAGGAGCCTACCTACAGTAATCACAATTATTTTTGCTTGTATAGAACATAATATTAATAAATATTCTCATTTTAAACCTCTATTCTCTCCGAGTGTATCAAGCTGCTCTAAAAATATTCTCCCAGCGTTGTGCTCGAGTTATTTTCTTGACTGTCGTGAGCGATTCATTAGCACAACTCGCAAAGTCTGATTAAAAATCAACCGAAAAAGTGGTAAAAATTTGTCAGGCATTTATAAATGTAATTGTAACTTATCGATCAATTAGCAATCAGTCAAGTCCCAGGATTAGCGGGGGTCTCAAAATTTAATTTAGATACTGAACCGATGTGAACTCCCTTTCTTCCCGCCTTAAATCCCCTCAATTGATTCGCTGCATTACAAAGTTTAATTACTTTCAAATGCCGAGGAATAAACAAAAGAGCGTTATCAGCGGATTTTGCCGGCTTATCAGTGGATTACTCCGGCCAAAGGCGGTTTCACTTAGCTTCTCCCGGGCCTGCTCTCGATTATCAAGGGATCGGAGCAGAGTCTGGAGTACATCATTCTATATAGTGGGTTGAACTTTTTTTTATCTGTTGCGGAACGACGCCTGGCTGGCAAACATTTGATAAGTTTTTAAATATTTAAGGGCCTCCTTAAGCTAGCTAGCTTACGGCGCTATTTATAAACACATGACGTTTATATATGGAAATTTGCCATTGCAATTGCAATAATCTGCACACATTCAGCTCAAATTTTAATGACCCATCATCATCATCATTATCAGTCGGCGGGCAGAAGTAAACAATTTCCAATTGAAATTAATCAAAGAACACAACTGCAGTGCCACTAATTAGGCAATTAAAGTGCTGGCTAGCTGGCAAGAGAAACTACTACAACTACTTGGCTGAAATCGAGAGATAAGGTTGCTCTATATTTAAATTGAGGATAGATTGATTCGCTAATGAGACGGCGCACTTTATAAGTCAAGTACGACGTCAGAAGCACGTGTCGAGTTATTTATGAGATATAAACCATCCAAAAATAGCGAAAAAGATAATCTAAACACACCTCCAGACCAGATAGAAGAGATGCTGAACTGGAATTCATTTGCTGCTCTGCTTTAATTAGCTCAACAAACTCAAACATAAACAATGCAAATATTTCTCAGAGCCAAAGCAAAAGTGGTAAAAATATACAAAAACACTTGACAAATTATGATAACAGAGAAATTGCTCAATGAATGACAGATTTAATATTTATTTTGTAACCCTGTTTTCTCTCTGTGCTAAAACAGAAACTTTTTGTAAGTAAAGCAAAGTTCCCTAAATACCCAGAGAAAACCTTGAAACCTTTCGCTCCCTCTCCTTTCGTTTGTTTACTTGGTTCATGAATATAAATGTAAAAGGGCACCGAGGAATGCAAATTGACTGGGGTATATATATTCACAAATTTCATTCACTCCCTACCTGACTCAAGACTGACGTCAGAGCCAACGGGGCCATTAAAGCCAAGTACTGGCAAATATTCCATATACTTTAATCCGAATCGTGCGTGCCCAGAATTACCAACAACTACGACATACTACTCGTATTTGATATGATGATGATGATGATACCCGGAGATCCAGCCACTCCATATATAACATATAAAACAATCGTGCAAAACAAATATGCACAATGCTATGTACTATATATGAGACAATGTTTTGGGCAGGGCTCTAAAGAACACAAACAATAAAAGAATGGAGAATCTAGAACCCAGAACAGACTGAGAACTCAGCTGAATAGAATTGGCAAACAAAGCCATAAATGTAGAGTACACATATGTGCGCATTTGCTTTGTCTTCTGTCTAAGTTTTATGTGAATTTTATGCTCACGTGTTGCTATTATTAACCGACCAGAAAGCGAAATCAAAGCCAAACATTTCAAAATTCCACAAAAAAATATAAACAAATGGAATTATAAGACCAAAATACAATTATATGAAGGTTAGAATGATATGTAATATGATTTACAATACAATTCTCATATTCCGAGATCCTAATTTTATTGGTCTAATAAATCAATACCTTTGCTAATACATCATTTTAATTTATTGTTTCTACTGTTTCTGTTACAAGATTATAGATCTGTTTAAAAGAAAAGTGTGTCAGTAGTAAACTTAGAATCCAAATGAATGCAAACAAGGGAGAAGCCTTGAAATCTTCTCCTTATTTTTTCTGTTCGTTGTCTTTTCTTCTGTTTACTTTAAGTGGGTAAAGGCAAAATTTGCAAATTGCAAAAAAGAAGACGAATCAAAATCGAATCGAATCGCAATGACGTCAACAGCAAAGTGCCGACAGTCAGACAGAAAGACATATGCATATGGTGCTATCTATATCACTTTAAACATTTGTTTATTATGAGCGACTCGTCTCTTGAACTTGAAAATGCAACAGTACGAAAATCAGCGTAAATATTATTAATATTGAAATGCGTTGATTGAAAGGCGGTCACTCATTTATACCCTTGAGGGTATTATAACATATTTTAAGCATATTTTTATCTAAAAGCTATCTTCTATTATTATAGAAATTTGTTTTTAGTTTTAAGAAAATCGGAATTCTATATAATATAACTTCCATAGAAACGGTTGTTAAATGTAGAGATCAGTAAGTATCTAAACCAGTAAGTAAATATGATCAGTAATTATCAGTGAACATTAAGTAACTATGAGCAGAAGTATCTATGACAAGTAAGTAACTATGATAAGTAAGTATGTTTAATCACTAACTAACTTTGAACACTAATAAACAATGACTTGCAACTTTTGTACAACAACACATGTCTGAAACTTGGCCGGCAGAAGTCACTTCGTTCCGTGGATGTTAAACTAGTTGGGAATCATATGTTATGATGATTAACTATGCACAGCAAGTATTTAGGAACATTAAGTAACTCTGAACAGTAAGTATCTATGAACAGTAAGTAACTATGATCATGTATTATCGTAAGTAACTATGATCAGTAAGTACCTATGACCAGTAAGTATGTATGATCACTTACTAACTTTGAACACTAATAAACAATGACTTGCAACTTTTGTACAACAACACATGTCTGGGACTTGGCCGGCAGAAGTTACTTCGTTCCGGGGATGTTAGAACCAGTTGGGAATTATATGCGCAGAAGAAAGAGATTTGTTTTAGAACAAATTTAAGAGCATGCACGCTATTTGATTGAAACTATGGAGGTATTCTTGAATATAATTTTACTTAGTATATAAATCGGAGCATGCCGAATCGGTGGACTATGTATATATACATATATATAGCTGCCATAGAAACGATCGGAAAATATTAAAAAAAATATATATATTATAACTTGTCCAGTTTTGAACAGATTTTCGTAAAATTTAATATACATCTATTTTATATTAATCTAGAATTTTATGCACAATTTTATGAAAATCGGACGACTATATCATATACATAGCTGCCATACAAACGTTAGCTTCCTTTTTTGTTTTCACATTGTTTTATTTCGAGTGCCCATCATCTTCAGATGTATGGTTATTTTGAGTGTTTCCACCGAAGCGTTAAATTTTATTTACAACAGAAAAAGTAAACCCAATAAATAAATATATTTGTTTGGATTAGAATAAACAATTACAGAAACGAAGCCTTTTCCAATTAAAGTAAGATCCTATATTAATTTTAATTCATGAAGATCTGTAAAATCAAACGAAATTTCGTTGAGAACTTGCCCGGTATTACATTTTCCCTATCTGCTAGACACAGACGACGCTGGCATATGGAGGACAACCGTTTTCGCACAGTGTAAACAAACCTTCGGAATGACTGCTCTCTGTCTGTCTGACCTCCTCATCAAAATATAAAAAAAAAATCCGACTTATCAGTTAGCTCCCACTAATAAGGCGCATTAGCGCTACAAATATAAATATTCCAATTGCAAACAAAATCGAGATAATTAACAAGAGATAATAATATTCTTTTGAGAAATAGCCTTAAAACCAGATCGATAGATCTATAAATGAATTCTGTAGTCTGGGGTTCCGCATCTGCGATTGATTAGATTACAAAAGATAATAATTATCAGACAATGACAGGATGGGGTTATCTACGGGGGTCGGGCACATGACCAGCTGTCAATTTAATCTGAGGTTAAGCCTGAGACGATTCCCATGATGAACTTCCGAAATGGATCTGTTGTGAAGGTTTTTTTTTATTTTTGTTTATATACACATCAATATTTTCATTTCGAATTTCGCTCATTTCGTATTCAGAAATTTTCCCTCCCTTCTCAATCATTGATAAAGGCGACGGAAACGAGGGGGATCTTTACTGAATCCACACCTGACTAGATGAAACCAAATTCCAAGTAAATAATCTATATTATATAGGTTTAATATTTGAGTTTGTGTTATTATGTCGCCGCCCGCAACAACAACAACAACAGTAATAATAAAATAATGATTAGCTGATAATAAAGTAGTACGAGAAAAAAGTGTTTCGAAAACAACAACAAATGCGGAACTAAAGCAGACAGTTAGACGTTGATCATTTGACTATGGTCAAGTACATTGCGATACAGTGCCAGTCATAACAAACAAGGAGAAAAGTATAGCCCTAAAATACATTTCCGTTTGTTGTTACTAATTCTTAAATTACTAATAAAGTCCTTATAATAAAGCAAGATTAAGAGAAATATTTTATGCTAGCAAAAGAAATTCATTTAAAATGTGTTTAAAAGTACGATTAGATTTAAGTTAATTTATATTCCGATTTCCAGATAATCTTGTAATATTTTAGATAAAAATATATATATTTTAGTGGAAAATAAAATTATAAGCATTATAGATTATATTTTGCTGATATAATAAGTTCTAAAATAGAAAGTATAATTTTTAGATATCTCCCTTTTTCCACACTCATTTAATACTTTACGAAATATTCCCAAACTTCTTGACTGCCCTTCAATAACGTTCCTTACTGTACCCACCGTACAAGGGAGTAACAAGATTTACATTTTAAATTATTTTGTGGCTCATTGCATGTTGGCCAAATCAATTAGCCAGAAAATCACGATACATCAATTTGCAACCAACTGCGATACGCGTCGAGAATCTACGTTTATATATATACGAATCGTATATAGAAACGAGAGGGAGGACCGACCGATCGACTACCTTACAAATTGTGCCACTTATATTGTGTGCTTTGTTGAGGCGATAAAAAATGACTTGATCAAATATTGACATTCACGTGTGCAAGTTGGAGTGGTATACGGTATATGGTATATGGTGTATTCAACTTACCCGACATGAAATGCAATAGTATCGATGTAATGGGATACAATACTGGACTGTAGGTAATATCGGGGCAATCGTAGCCCAGGACATTCACGATGCGATCGGCCACGGCTCTGCCGGTGCTGGTCAGGTGATACGGCAAACAATGTGTGGCATCCACAAAGGCGGGCAGCATAATGGGCTTCTCCGACAACTCCGTGGTGCCAAAGACCTTAAAATGAAGAAATATTTGTATTAATTTCAAATATAATATATAATAAATCGCTACTCACCTGATGAACCATCTCCCAGTAGAAGCCATCGAGCATGTGCTCCTTGGTCTGGTGTTGGCCACATAGCATTGGCCATAGCTGGGATCGGATTGGGGAGTTTATTGGCCACGAGTTCTCCCTGAGTATATTCTTAACGTCACGTTTCTTGCCCTGCTGCAGCAGCTGTTGGATTTCGGTATAGGAGCGCAGTGCCGGCTCTTTGCCTACAAACACAAATAAAGATAGTTGATCGATTAGTTAATAGTTATGATTAAAGGGAAGGATTCCCCAGAGAGATAAAAGTGAACTTTGTCATAAAGATGACTAATACTCGAAAAACAATGTATATTTATTAATATTTTATTGCTTAAATTAATACTAATGGTTTTGTTTGTTTGATTTTAAATGTTTAATCATTAAATACAAATATTTTTTTATTGTGGTGTTAATTTTGTATAGATAATGCAATGAATTAATCAACTTATTGTTCTGTAATTACTCTAATCATTTAATTTAAAGTAATTTGAGCTCAGGTAATTATTCTTTTTAGCGTTTAAAATTAAATTTAGAACCCTAGCTATCATTTTTAACCCTAAACAGTTGATAAACCTACCTAATTGCACGGCTAAAGTTATTTATTTTTCCCAATTGATTAGACTGCAAGCTAATCCCACTTAGGTTAGGTCAATAACAAAACCTGGATCATCGTTAAATGAAAATCCAAAGAGACCAAAAACAAAGTCAGTAGCCGCTTTTTCGAGTACTCGAGGCTGCCGTTTATTTTTTGTTGGAATTCAGGGGCACTTCAGCTGTGGCAATCATATGACACGATTGTTATTGTTACGGCTAATAATAATAATAATAATGGAGGGGGTTCTTGAGGTTATCATCACCACTACCGTCGCCGCTCTAGACCCATTCAAATGGGAGTGCAAAGGAGCCTTCTCCACTATCATCAAAGTCGCTTTGGCAGGTGGGGCTAGCCCAACAGCTCAAGATATAACAAAAAATACTTGTGTGCACCACCGATAAGTAGTTAAATTTCATGTGTAAGGCAGCGGAATTACTCATACGACAAGTGGTCAAAATAAAATACTTGAGAAAGTGCATCTGATAAGTAAAGTATTGATAAAATACAACAATTTATATTTAGTTTGTGACGAAAGCGAAGGAAATATTTATTCTAACCTCTGCTAACGCTTGAAACTTTATTAAAATGAAACATTAAACCATTGACAGTATTTTTGTTTTATAAATTAACTTGAAATAATATATTCCATAGTTAAATTTCCTTGGAAAGCAATAGCCATATCAGAAAAGCCAAAACTTCGTTTATCAATGAAAAGCTTTATGAATTCATAGGAAAATGCTGAATATTATTATACCAAAAAAGGTTATATACATGTTATCTCTATATGTATTTGATAGCTGATTTGGAATAAAAGTATATAAAGTGGAGGTGAAATTATCTATCACTTAAGTGCTGATATTACATTTTTTTGTAATTAACAATTTAAGTAGTCTGAAAAGTTAGCTATTCGAGGCCATAAATTAGTTTATTAAGTCTTGAGTACATATACTAAATTGTATTGATAAATAAGTTATTAAGAGTATGTTGTTTAAAATGTTATTAACTGTGAAATTACTTTTAGAACTTTATTAAATTTTAAACTAGCTATTCTATTCTAGTAAAGAATTAATATTCCTGAAAGCACCTACTGTATTGAACTGATTTATTTCCAACTAAAACACTACGAGATATACATACTTAAGATCAGTAGTACCCCCTGGACATTATTTTGTAGTAGATGTGTCAATTAGGTGACAACCGTAGATTCCCTATCTTTCACCCGGTCAGCTGGTCAATTGCGTATGTAGGACAAACCCCTTGCCCAGTCCGAATCCCAATCCCATTTCCACACCCAATTCCCATTCCAATGCCACATTGAACCCCATCGGGGGCTGCCATTATTGATTAGCTCTATCGGCGTGGGGGTAATTGATTGCAGTGCGGACATGTCTCATTACAGGCAGCGACAGCTGATCGATTTTTTTTTTTTTGCATTGCCCCCCTCCCTATCTTTATCATCGCCTGTGACTGATAAGTTGGGAAATCATGGAGCTAAATAGCGCGGGCAGCGCCATTATCAAACATCGACCAAGCAAATCACAAATACTAAGTTGTAGAGCCTTTTGATTTATTTGCACACTCGCTTTAATATGACTTAAAAAATGTTTAGGATGTCACAAAACGAGAATCGTTTAGCCAAATGGCATTTAGTCCCATAAACTGTGGGTAATGCAAACTATCAAATCGCAGCAAGAGCGATAAGATATGGCGAACTATAGAGTTTCATTGCAGCAAATGCAATAATAATAAAAAAACTGGAATAATTGTAGTAAAGCTCTGTGGCCTGGGTAGGTAATTAATCCCCATTTACATTCCCATCTCTCATACACAGCATCCCCCTTGGTTTTATTTTTGCATTTTTCCAATGACCAATATGGAAATAAGATCGTCATCGATATACTAAACATTCCATTTGCAAGTGATGCAGTAATTTTCCTCTCGAAGCAATCAATTTCATTTGTTTTTTTTTTACAAAACCATATACCGCACTCACACACACAGAAAGTGCTTCATAATTGGATTATTATGACATAATCCAAGTCCTGTAACAAGTACTCAACAAAGTAGCACTCATTTTAATTGGTGATTTAGTCGCATATTTTAAAATGCGCTTAGGCACCATTAAAATTGTGCAATCCGATTAGGAGCACAAAACGTAATGCCATTAAATTAGCAATTATTTGTATAGAGAGCGAAATCTGATTTGAGTTTATCTTGGAGCGGAAACTTTTATCGCCTTAACACACGATAATACACACTCACACCACCAGAAAGATATCATTCATTGTTTTCCAAACTTCACTTGGGAATATTTTTGGGAAAATATAAAATGCTTTTATTCCCGCAACTGATTGATTTTAATTTTACTGTTTCTCACACACAGTTTATGGCTCTGCATTTTAATTAGTGCTAAATGTGTTAAGGAGTTTAAGTGAATTTTGGGTAAACAAGGAAATCCCAAGGCAAAAGAATATTTTTATACAAGGTTGTTACCAGAGAACAAACCATTTCAATAAACAGAAATGTATTTGAATTATAAATATAGGAAAACATAAACATTTCAGAATCTAGGTCTAGGTTAATTATCAAATTTTGAGGGAAATAATAATTGTAATGGTTTCATAAAACTTTTGCTTACTTTATTTATATGAGTTTCAAAGACATATGAGTTGAATATATGTATATTCCACAGAAAACTTAAGCTTTACAAGTATAAAATCTGTGGCTTCACTTAAAAAATAATGGTCAGGAATTAATATATTTTCATATAGAGAATATTTTCTATACCTAGTTTCTATACAAAATGATCTGAAAAACATATATAGATCAGCCTTAACCCTTATTTATTTGCTTAAATCACTTAACTGACTTTTTAGTAAGCTAATATACAATTTCTCTACAATTTTGTTCACTGGTTTTGAACTATTAACATTAGATTTTTTTGGGTTTGTGTTATTTTTATCGCTGTTTTTATTTGTATCTGTGACTTTTACGATGTGGACTTTGGCATCGAATGTGTGTTATTACCTGGACTGAACTGGAAACACTGGCACTTGGTGGTGATGTCGTTCGAGCTGGCCGCAATGAAGAGCGGCAGCTCAAAGAACTTGTCACACTCGGGATCGACGTAGACACTGCTCCGCCGGCTGCTGAACTGCTCCAAGTCTTTAATGCCCAAGACTTTGCCAACCATTTTTCACTTTTGTTTTATTTTTTGTTAAAGTTGATCACTACTTATTGTATTTATTTATTATTTAATTTTATTATTATTATCACCTTGTTTTAATTTGTTTCTTGTTTGTTGTTCACTTGCTTTTTTGGCACCAAGAACTTTTCGCGCTGTTTGTCAACAGCCGCAGCAACAACGACATCATTTATGTAGATTTCAGTCTCTCTTTCTTTTTTTTATTTTTATTGTTTCGTTTTTCGCCGTTTGCTTTCTTAATTTTTGTGTTTTTTTTTATATGTATGTATATACTGGGTGCTGCCTTTTATTGTTTTAATTTATTGCGATCTGCAATTCGCTGTCGCCCGAGCAGCGATGCCGACAGCACTTGAATTTAATTTGCAGCACATTTAAATTTTCTGTTCACATTTTTCGATATATTTGCGACGACTGACTCTCACTCTCTGCGGGATGTTTCGAAATTAATTTCAATACTTTCAACGAGGGTTGAAAGGAATCATTAAGAGCATATGCACATATGTATATATATCTCGGGAAGTGTGCCCTAAGATCGTAATACTACCAGATACTTTTCAGAGACAGGCCTACGTGCGGAGCGTTCGGATGCGTTCGGGGTTCTCAGATATTTTCCGGCGGACAGGCCGGTTTCATTCCCTGCCTTCTCAATGAAAGCTTCTATCCGTAAATGAAAAATAAAAATAAAAAAAAAATACACACAGAGAAAGAGAGCGATCGAAACCTGGCGCGTGCAAGCTTTATTTTCTAGAGCTTTTTTTCACGGGGTCTCTGCTCTTCTCTGTTATATTTTGTGATTTATTTCTGTTTTCTTTATTTCCTTTCTTTTGTGATTTTTGTTTGTTTGTGCATTCTCCTATCGGCGCCACAGAGCAAACAGCTGTTTTCTGTTGTTCCCTCTTGTTCTCTCTATCTATCTCTGTCTCTCTAAGGGGGGAGAAAGAAAATGGGTAAAGAAAAGCGCCAAATGCAGTGTAAATGCTTTTATAAATAGCCTTTTGTGGGGAAAATTTCGTAAGCGATGGCGAAAATATGCTTGGAAAATCCCAGGCAAGAATTTCTGCCGTTTGCTTAAAGAATTCTCTTTGCCAACGCTGCGTATACGTAACTTATTTAATTTATGAGCATTTTCCCGAGTAAAAATTCGGTTGGGAAAATTTTCTGCCTTGCGGTAACACAAAATCAAATTTATGGGGGAAAATCTCAGTATGTGGAATTTCTTTTACATTTTGAACAGGTAAACGAGAGCGGAAAAATTGCGAAAGCACTTTTGTGGGCAAGCAAAATAAATACAATAAACATTTTCCACAGAATTTAAGTACTACCAAAAGCGTAGTAAAATATTTCATTAATACCTCATAGTTGTGGTATAAAATACGCAATAATTTTCC